TTGCTAATCAAAAAGCAGCATTGGAATTCAAATGACAAAAAATCAAGAGTAAACAGTACCTGATTTCGACACAGGTAGTACAGTATTCGACAATCGATGGAATAGACATTTGACAGAGGATCAACAATAATAATAATAATAATAAATTCTTTATTTAACGAAGGTAACTCATTTAGCATACAATTATTAATCTCACACGAGGCCTTCACACATTAAAATGAACAATTAAATACATATACTGACAATCAATGCATATAACACAGTAATCAAGATTGTCCTAAGAAAAAAAAAAGTTTGTCTACTCATTTTGTTTTGTTAACTCTAAAGCTTTCTATATGACTTGAATCCTTTATATCATTTGGCAAACTATTCTAAATAATTAGACCAGAATATTAAAAAGTCTTTTTGAAGTATTCAGACTTTGGCCTTGGTAAATGAAGATGTCCAGATGTTGTTGACCTAAGAGAATAACTATATATATATAGATCACTGCACGCAGTAAATTTACTAGTAAGATTATCTGGCGCTAGTCCATTCATACATTTAAACATTAAAATGGCTTGAAAATATTTTATCCGTGTAAAAATGGTCATCCAATTAAGTTCTTTAAACATTGATATTGATGGATAATCAAAAAGTTTATTCAAAATTAATCTTGCTGTGCGCTTTTGCAGCTTATGGATCTGTTCAATGTTGCAGTTTGCGGTAAAACTCCATATGGTGCAACAATAATCAATTATTGATAATATATAACTATTGTAAAAAAGGATAACACCTTTGCGAGGCAAGTATCGTTTTAATTTATTTAGCAGGTATAATCTGCTTGAAAAAATCTCACATACTTTATCTATGTGAATTGACCATGAAAGATTTTTATCAATATGGATACCAAGAAGTTTTTCTACTTCCACATTGTCAAATGAAGTCTGATTTTGCGATAATACACACAAGACATCATTACAATTCTCAAGTTTTCTCTCAGATCCCATAAGCATACATTTGGACTTCTTGTTATTTATTCATGTTATTATCATATTGTTTTCAGCACACCATTCAATTACGTTTTCAAAGTCTTTATTTAAACAAGAGTTTAAGTTTGAAATAGATTTGGACGATATATGCAAAGTTGTGTCATCAGCATATAATTCAGACTCTGTGTGTTTTAATGTAAACGGGAGTATTTATATAGATTAAGACTAATAAAGGTCCTATTATGTAACATTGTGTGACCCCGAATGTTACATTATTGTATCCTGATTCAGTTGTTCTAATTTTAACCTTTTGCAATCTGTTTGAAAGGTAGGACGAAAACCACTTAACAGAGTGATCATCACATTTATATAAATTAAGTTTCGATAATAAGATGTTATGGTTAACAGTATCAAATGCTTTTTTTAAATCTAGAAAGAAAACAGCAGTGAAATTGCCTTTGTCAAATTCTTCTAACCATTTGTCAATTATTTTGATAAGTGCTGTGTGGCATGAGTGTTTTTCTCTAAATCCAGATTGTTGTTGTACCAGTAGTTTGTATTTAGTTAAAAATGAATATAATTGTTTAAACACAGTCCTCTCAAAAATCTTGGACACTGTAGGTAAAATTGAGATAGGACGATAATTGTTAGGATCATCCTTATCAGCGGCTTTGAAAATTGGAGTTACGTTTGCATACTTTAGAATATTGTTGTGAAGGTTTTTATGGTCCTTTTTGTTGAATACTAGTACTTCACAGGGGGAACACTTGTTAAGGTGGGACTATGAATGTGCTTTAGGACTTCTATATTGATAAACATGATGGTGATTTCCCTTCTCTCGTATGTTAAGTTCTCCTATGGTTCTTGTAGGTAGAAAGATGTCTGGGCATCTGGGGACTACATGTCGTTGTTATGGACTGGCTTGGCAGCGAGAGTGGGACTCGCGCCTTCCGACCTTTTTAATGAAATAAATAAGACAACTCAATTTGCTGGTAGGAACAAGGATAGTACGGGCAGTAGACTTATATTTGCTTTTATAGTCACTATTGAATACCCAACATTCTTGTTCCCCAGCCGAAATTGAGCTTCTTTTTTGCAAACGATGGAATTTGCTGCCAAAACATTTATTACTTCATAGTATGCAAAATGCATTTATTTGTTTTTGAAAAGCATCAGAATTATGTTTTCTAAAATTAAAAAGAATAATATTTTTGGAAGAATTTTAATTTCTGATCTTAATAATAAAAGATAATTAAAAATTTGTAAAATTTTAATTATTATCTTGTATTCATCAATCTTCGTATCTCAGCTGTTTGATTGGTTATTAAAAACATTCTCGTGTGCCTTAATGTATTACTGAATATTCATGATTCTGAGAATATGGTTATAACCTTGGATGTAATAGCAATTCGACATACATCTGTCCGGCAACCTAATAACCTTCTTTACGCGTGTCAAATAACTTATTTAATGAGGTTCTTGACTTTGTACTATTACTGATTATCTTGCATCTAAAATAAAGTTCGTTATTCTTACGAATCTTGATCTATTTTACTCATGTATTTTCTTCTTATATATATCAACGAATTATTTGAAATTTATATTCCATTTTACTTTTCACTATCTTAATAAACTAGAAATATATTTGTTTGTTTAACTAATATCTCCTTGATCTTAATTTCTAATTATTTCGAATAACGTCCTAAATCCTTTCATAACAATATCAGGAAATATACATGTACATAAACTAAGGTTTATAATATGAGTAAGAGAATCTACAGTTATTGATTTTGATACTTTTGATATTCTTGGGCCAACTCCATTGGTCCCGGTTGATTTATTAATATCTAGATTTGTGAGATATTTAAAGACATCACCATTTGTGACAGTATACAGTGAAAACAACGTGTTATCATTAATTTTGGATTTCACATAATTGTTTATTTTCACTGATTCAAAGTAAGAATGGGGATATGGAATAAGTTTTTCTCCCACTGAACTAAAGTGATAATTTTACTCTTAAACGATCATTTTACTCTTAAACGATCATACCGATTGAATACGATTGATACGATCGCAGCTCTTGACAACCCTATGAGACAGTTGATTGAATACAATCGATACGCTCGTGAGTTTTGTAAACGAGTAGAGACAGCTAGTTGATTGAAGTTTAAACTCTTAAACAATCGTAACGACTGATACGATCATGACGCTTGAGACAGTTGATTTTTTATTAACTCTTGATCGTTCGTAACGATGAAATACGATCGATTCGATCGCGAGTCTATAAAACAAGAAGATACAGTTGATTATAATATAATTGTTTAAACACAGTCCTCTCAAAAATCTTGGACACTGTAGGTAAAATTGTGTGAAATCCAAAATTATTGATAACACGTTGTTTTCACAGTATACTGTCACAACCGTATTCAATCGGTATGATCGTTTAAGAGTAAAATTATCACTTTAGTTCAGTGGGAGAAAAACTTATTCCACATCCCCATTCTAACTTTGAATCAGAGAAAATAAACAATTATGTGAAATCCAAAATTAATGATAACACGTTGTTTTCACTGTATACTGTCACAAATGGTGATGTCTTTAAATATCTCACAAATCTAGATATTAATAAATCAACCGGGACCAATGGAGTTGGCCCAAGAATATTAAAAGTATCAAAATCAATAAACAACCCATTGTTGTAGAAAGTTTACTATTCCATATGTAATCAATTCTCTTAATCTTTTCAATCAACCCTTTATCCATAGAGTTGAATGAATTGCGATCGTTTAAATGATCAATTCAATCAACTGTATCTTCTTGTTTTATAGACTCGCGATCGAATCGATCGTATTCCATCGTTACGGACGATCAAGAGTTAATAAAACATCAACTGTCTCAAGCGTGTCATGATCGTATCAGTCGTTACGATCGTTTAAGAGTTTAAACTTCAATCAACTAGCTGTCTCTACTCGTTTACAAAACTCACGATCGTATCGATTGTATTCAATCAACTGTCTCATAGGGTTGTCAAGAGCTGCGATCGTATCAATCGTATTCAATCGGTATGATCGTTTAAGAGTAAAACTGTTGATCAATTAAATCATTTGTCTCATGTGGTTTTCATGGGTCGTATCAACCGTATTCAATTATTACGATCGTTTAAGAGGTGACCAATTCATTATCGTATCTATCGTATTCAATCTGTCTAATGTGGCTTTCAATGGTCACGATCGTATCAATCGTTGATATCGTTTAAAAAGTGACCAATTCAATCAAATGTCTCTGCTTGTGTTTAAGACTCACGTACGATCGTATCGATCGTATTCAATCGTTACAATCATTTAAGAGTTGATCAATTGAACGATAAATACTCTTGGTCAATTATATATATCGTAATGCTCTAGTGTGTGCAATCATTATTGGGTTGACTGAGTTGATATTTGGTTATCAATCGTGATTAATCGTATCTATCGAAACTATGGAGGGTTTGCACTTTTTACTGCCTTGATTGAGTTGATATTTGTTAATCAATCGCGATCAATCATATCTACCGTAACGATCGTGGGTTTGCAATTTAAATTGAGTTGATTTTGAGTAATATATCGTGACGATCATTTGTAATTTTTGATGAGCTGATCATTTAGTTGTGAGCAATCGTTACAATAGATGTATAACATGTATACTAACGTTTTATGGGGTTGATTGAGCTGAAATTTGTTGTGCAATCAATGTCAATGTAATCAGTCGTTACAATAGAGTATTTATAATTTTAAATGCAGTTGACAATTGATGTTCAATCATTATCAATCGATTCTATTGTTACGATCATTTTTTCAATCGATTGTCGAAGACCATACCTCAATGAATATTGCAAAGACATAATTTTACAGATATGATAATAACAATTGGCGCAAATGGACTATGAGATTTTCGGGTCGCCACTTAAAAAACGATTGACCAATTACAAATCTTGAATCTTCAATAAAACAATTGGTCCGAGTTGTCGTTGGTCCGAGTTGTCCTAATTCCACAAGTAACGACCTTGCAAAGATGGCAGCCTCCACAAAAGCATGAAAATAATAAAATTGATGCATTGATATGGACGGACAAGAAATAAAGCGATCAAATTATATGCGGGGAACAGCAGCTTATAGATTGCGAAACAGATTCGTATTCGGAGTTGTTGCTTTTGGCCTGGGATTAGGAGCTGTATTGAAGTAAGAAAATCGACCATAATTGGCATAAAAAATCGTCGGATCATGTTTTCGTACGTCATATGAATTCGTACTATGCTTGCTTTTATGCTTTTTCAGTTGTTTTTTCATTCGTTTGATGTGTTTGAGCTTTTGATTTTGCCATTTGATAAGGGACTTTCTTTTTGAATTTTCCTTGGAGTTCGGTATTTTTGTTATTACGTCACAGTGTATTCTAAATAGCAGGAAAACCCATAATACGCAGATATGTCCGTCCATACAATAATGCATTTTACACAACGGGGCCGTAGTAGTAATCCGAAGGTTCAACAGTCCAAAGATCCAATGATCCGACGTTTCGATAGTCCGATGGTTCAGACTTCAGTGGTTTTATAATGATCATACACCTTATCCTGGTATCGGGTCCGTTCGCCCTAATTACATGTTTGCCCTGGGTCCGTTCGCCCTGAGTCCGTTTGCCCATAGAGTCCGTTCGCCCTAATTTTTATAAAAAAAATAATATTAATGGTTTAATTTAAAGTTTTGTAATCTTATTCAGATATTTAAATGGTAAATATTAAAAATGTATATCTCCAAATTCATGAATAAACATTGAAATTAAAAAAAAAAGGTTTTTGTTTTGGAGCATTAATCAGGCTTATTGGCTTCATTGTTACATTTGTTTTTACTCAGAATTACTTGTAATGACTGTTGATTGTAAATAAACTCATCATAGATACCAAGATTGAAATTTTGTTCGCAAGACACACGTTTCGTCTACAAAAGACTCATCAGTGACACTCGAATCAAACAAGTTACATGCCAAATAAAGTGTACGAAGTTGAAGAGCATTGAGGACCCAAAATTCCTAAAAGTTTTGCCAAATACAGCTAAGGTAATATGTGGAAATGCCCTAGTATTCCGAAAATTCAAAGTTTTGTAATTTAGAATGCTGATTAGATATGATTACGATGTCTTTGATCTCACTGATTGTTGTAGTTATTGTTTTTGATGGATTAATAATGAAATTGTTTTTTTAAATAAACAAGTCAGCTTGGAATGAGTTAAAACAATGATGTAAGAATTGTAAGACATTAAAGTGAAATTGTTTTCGCCGCTTGGCTTCTTTGATCTCAAGGTGTTGAGTGAGTTGGATCTTGCTATACCTGTTTGGATTGTTTTGAAATTGTTACAAGGTTTCAAAAAAGACATAAATTCATACAGATAACTTGGTCTCCAGTTCCTGAACACTTCTTCTTTAAGTTTCTAGCGATCCTTCAATTATTGAAATTTTATAATTTACATTGTAGCAAGAAAAAATAAAAAGAAACAAAATCAAAAAATCAAAATAATGTATGCACATTTGAAAAATTTCATTTAGATAAAACTATATACATTTGATAACAAAATAGTTAGGGATAAAAAATGGGGATGAGAGCAGATTCTGAGATCATACTCTTGAATCCCTGTACTGTACTGCATGATACTATTTGTTGTGTCAGATGATTCCAATTTATAACTGCAGCTGTTCGTTGATAAAATGAGTATTTATAACTGTCTTTAGATGTTTGTATTTGCCTAAATGAGTGTGGATTGCTATGTCTAGTTCTATTGTCTAGTGGGATCAAAAGGTTATATGTAGGGACTGCAACAATTTCGTGTATAATTTTGTAAAAGAAGACAAGTCTGTATCGTAAACGCCTAATTTATTTTCTTCTTCTTCTTCTTCTTCTTCTTCTTCTTCTTCAAAATACTGTCCTCATTCAACATGATGAATATTCTGGCAAGAAAATTCAATGCAAATCAAAAGAAAAATAATTATCTGGTAGCAGCAATACAACATAAATATTTCGGCGGAATTTTCAACAAACTTCAACATAATTAATTCAAATAATTCATATTATACAAGACAACAAAATAAAATAAAAATCAGGGCGAACAGACTCAGTGCGAACAGGAATGAGGGCGAACGGACCCAGGGTGAACAGGTATTAGGGCGAACGCGAATCAGTGTGAACGGACCTGGATTCCCTTATCCTTACCTCTGTATCTTTAACCCCTTTTGAAGAGGAACCATACATTTGTATGTAGAACTTGTGATCTGCATTAATCTATGTACAGTGATGCCTCCACCAGTTATGAATATGTTGTAGTGCTCTATATCATGTATATATATATATATATATATATGCAGTCTTGTAAGCAACATACACTAGCCATTTGTTAATGAAGCCTGTGTATGGTGTTATTATTTAGTCATGTATAAATTGAATGATCATTTCGAAAAAGTTATAATTAAAAAATAGGAAGTTGCTCTGTTGTTTTACAAAGAAACTACCTTGGTGTTTATTTGGCGCTCATCTACATTTGTGAAGGACATCATGGACATTATTACAAAGAAACTCCCTTGGTGTTTATTTGGCGCTCATCTACATTTGTGAAGGACATCATGGACATTATTACAAAGAAACTCCCTTGGTGTTTATTTGGCGCTCATATACATTTGTGAAGGACATCATGGACATTATTACTAAGTACAAAATAAGTGACAATACCAACATTTAAACGCTACACATATTTTGCATTTTGTTTAAATATACCAGGGATATAAAAATCATTTTATGTCTCTGAATACACAGAATTGACTATGGCCGAAACGACATTGTTTGCCGATCTGGTTGTATGGCTGAAATGTCTCGAAAGCACAAATATACATAACTATATAGATGGTGTAAAAATCATATCAGTGTTACTCTTGCATGTCTTGCATTGTGTCACTTTGCTTAGCTCTTCATAAAATTGTATATCAGAGTTTTATTATGAATATGAATATGAATATACTGGGAGTTTATACTCGAGGCTTGAAAGTGATGCGAAGATCTTGTGATGTTTGTTTACATTCCGCCATGTTTGTTGTTGAAATTGTAGAGGAAGCCCTGTAAGACTTCTTGAATCACCTGAACTTGGTGACCACAATATTCGTATAATAGAATACATGTACTCCTTACCACTATTTATTCCAATCCAGATAATTTCTGAAGTTATACAACTTTTTCTTGACATCACAAACCAGTTGAAGCTATCTGGGGCCCTGTTTTAACAATGTATTGTGCATAAAACTTTAATTTGTGTTTCAAAAAATTATCATAATGTAACAAAATTTCAAAACTTTTTAAGTTTTACGCTTGTCCGTCTACATGTGTCCGTACATCCCTAAATTGGTTTTCTGTTCTCTAACTTTAGTTTGCCTCAACCAAATGTTATGAAACTTTCAACCAAATGTTATAAAACTTATACACAATGCTTATTACCTCAAAACACAGATCAAGATTAAATTTGGATGGCATCACTTTTACCTTTCTAGAGTTATGCCCGTTTACAAATGGAAAAATTGCTGAATTTTTCGTTCCGTTCTCTAAGTTTAACTTGAGTTTGCCTCAACCAAATTTTATGAAACTTATACACAATGCTTATTACCACAAAACTCAGACCAAGTAAGAATTTGGGTAGTGTCACTTTTACAGTTCTTGAGTTATGTCCCTTTATAATATTATATGAAAGCTGGGGCATCATCTGTGTCCCATGGACAAATTCCCCATTTATTTCCTCCCTCAGCTCTTTACTGAGGACTTCATTTTTGCAGAGGAAAGTTGTCTCTATAGTGACTTTTTTTTTGCAATTGAACGGAATAGCGATACAGTGTATTGAAAACAAAACACATAATATAAGGACAATACACACATGTAAAAAACATAAGATACTACACATGCATGGCTAAAATAAAATAGCATATTAATGCTGAAAGCAGATAAGGATAGCAAGCAACATACTTTCACAGAATTGAATGATAAGATCTGCACTAAACTTGATGTAATTATCAAGACAGCATATCATGAAAAATGATATTACAAAATTAAACATAAACTACATATTTACTATTAAGCATTGCATTGGTATGACATGTATGAGTTGTCATTCCATTTAGAAAATAATTTTGTAAACTGCTGGTTTGCATTTAATTTGGCAGCTCATCTATAAAAACTTAGAAGCCTATTATCTAAAATTGTTCTTTTCATTTTGTTTACATGTGTACATCAAAATTTGTAAGATCTGACAGTGGAACTACAATTGAAATATTTGCCTTTTTGCTTGACCTTTTAAAATATTGCAACAAAAATGTCAATTTTGAAAATCTGTGTCATCAAAACAAAAATTGTTTTTCAAACATTTTAATAAGAGGGTGGTAAGGGGGGGGGGGGGGGGGGGACCTGAACACGGAAACACGTGAAATAAAAATCGAAAAAACGTTGTATGGAAAATAAAAATCAGGAAAAACAAAACACAAGAAATTAAATCGTAAATATTAAGGAAAAACGTACTAGAAGTTATTACTCAGCCGTTCTTGGAGATCATGCAGTCATTATTAATAGACATGAAGACCCTGCGGTCACCTTTTAGCGTCCGCTAGTTGCATCTGATTTGAAAAAAAATATTATTCATAGTAATTTGATGGACTTTATTACATACCATACATATAATATAGAATTGTAAATATCCGAGGTGACTTGAAATTAGTCCCGGTTTCCTTTTTAATCAAACGCGGGACAAGCACGAGAAATTTAGAGTACCGACATGTAACACGGAAAATAAATAAGGGGAAACACGAAGCACGCACATCAAACCAAACACGAGAAAACGAGAAATAAAACGTCAAAACACGTGAAATAAAAAAGCCGAAAACGTTGCACAAAAATAACCCTTTACCACCCTCTTATAAGATTCACAAAAGGTTGACATACATAGTACAACAAACATGACCGAGGTAAAAATCCCCTAGTATGAAATGAATGTTTTATATATATCAAGTAAAAGTATAAAATATAGTTCCACTTAATGTTTTGAAGCTTATATAAAAATAGGGGATGTGGTAGGATTGCCAATGAGACAATTCTCCATTCAAACAGAAAGACAGAGATGTTAATGTAAATAATTACAGGTCACCATACTCGAGTGAGTGAAACCCATATCATACATGTCGTATATTTAGTTCTAACACAATAAAAGACTCTGGGATGACCAAATGTGAAACAATTTGAAGGGGTTAAATTAAACATGTTTATGATGTCATAGTGACATCACTAATGACCTTTCTGCACTAAAATATGTTCAGATTATATTAACCTGTTCATTTATGAATGAAATTAACTTTAAAGGCTTGAATAAGTTAACAATTTTTGATATACGATATATATTGGATAAAAAAACACTGAAGACATTCATTGTTTTTTTTTATACTTGAAATATCATATGGAGACTGAGAGATATTTAAAGGTATTCAAATATAACACACTTGGTGGGAAAACTACACACTACATTTTTCACAGGGTTATTGTCATATATCATTTCCTTTCTCGTCTCATAGAGAATGGTAATTATTTTTTTATCCATTTCAGTTATTTTGTTGATGTAGAAAAATCTAGGCTGTTCATTCAGATAAAGAAAAATCAGGAATGGAGAGATGAAACAATAAGAAGACAAAGAGAAATTAGTCAGCTAAAAACTATTGAGAAAGCTAGTATTAAACCAGTGAAATCTGTCTAAAATTATATCTATATTGTGTATAAAGGGAGATTGATCTGTAAACAAATTTGTTACTTACATTTGACTTTTATACTCATAGAGATTGTAATGGTTGATTTTATGAATTCTTTTTGTTTGTTTATATTTTGGAGTAGATGTGGGTGATGAGAAAAAAACATTGAAAATTGGTGTATCTTATTTTTCTTGATATGTGACATTTTGTTATTGTGTTATTTAAAAAAATAAAAATTAACACACCATCAATCTTTGAACAATGACTTCCTCTGGTGAAATTTCAAAAACCCAGAAAACAAAACTTTCTCTTCAGAGGAAGGTTATAAAACCGTGCACAGATCATGTAGATATTATAAAACATGCCTCTTTGAATGAAACCTGTGAATTCAGATCTGTAGAAAAGATGCAAAAATTCTTTAGCAGCAGTGAATCTCAAAGTAAGGAAGATGAAATGAAAAAAGGGAAGTCAACCAGGAGAAATTTAATCAATAAAAATTCTGCCAAAGCCCCCAAAAATGAAAAATCTAAAAAGAAAGTTCAGATCAAAACTGAAATGTTAAAGGATACTGAAAGCACAAATGCAGTGCTTTTAAATCAACCATCTTGTTCAACGATAAATAAAGTTACAGAGGATACAACAAAAATTGAAAATACTACTGATAAAACTAAAAACCAAAATGATACTGAGGCTGATCAGCACAATGTAATTGAGATAGATTGTGAAGATGATGACAAACCAGGAAGTAAAGGAAGATGTTTGGCATGTGGTAAAGACGACTTAGATTCACAAGACATGGCTACACATCTACGGACTTGTCTTAAATCAAGGTTTCAAAGAGGAAAAACTCAAGCAGGTACTTCATTTAAACTGAAGGTTCAACTTTGACCAATCATGCATGTGTATATATACATATAGTTTGACCAGTCACACAGGTACATATGTTATGTAAACACTGGGTTGGTGAGGTAGGGGAGGTCACTCACTAACATACACTAATACTAATAGTACTAGTAGTTTTGGTGTGTTTGGAAAGTTACTTGAACAGGAACAAATCTTCTTTTAAAGCAGTTTAAATGAGGCCACTTGTACACAAAAACACATTTATTTAGGAACTCATAAAGGAACTCAAGCATTTGAAAGAATGTAGAAGCACTGTATAAATAAATGACTAAACCAGCTGAGACTCAAAAATTTACACACACACTGAAGGGACTGGTTTTATTGCTGTTCTTCATCTACTCTGTTACTTATAGTATTCATCAATCCATTAAGGAGACCATATACTAGTAATGAGAAGATGTGTTTTTATGTGAAATGTGATTATTTATTGCAAAATAGAAAGTGAATCGAGTCACATTCACAACCCACTTTATAGAAACTATCTAGGATTTTAAACAATAGCTGTTACAGATTGTTTTGACATATATATAAATATTTTCAATTGAAAATATTTATTTACAGCAGAATTTATAGTTTTGTTATGTTGGTAATTCAGTGTTATTGGAAGGGCTATATAAAAGATATTAATTTATCTTATTTGTGTTTTAAGAATCAGAAGAGGTTGTTGGACAAGGAGTAAAATCAGCTTATCCAAAAGTAGAAAAAGTGGAATGTTTCTTTTGTCAGATATGTCAAAAAGACTTGTCAAAAATGAACTCTCAAAGACGCACACAACATCTAAATAGGTGTATTGACAAGGTAAGGTTTAACTACAGTCAGGGGCAGGTTTTTAACTTGTTAAAGGAGATCAATTGTAGGTCATAGAATATTTGACAGACAGCACAAATATATTAATAGTTAAAACAAAATTACAGTTAAACAGTTGAAGAAAATAATAATTGTAAAAAAAAGGTAAATTACTATTTCTACAGAAATACAGTCTTAATATTTGGGAAATTGTATTTATTTAATATTGTAGGATGAAGAGGAACAGAATATAAAAGATTTAGAGAAAAAAGCTTTAGAAAATGCTAAAACTGCAGTTCTGGATTGTCCCATGTGTGGTAAACCTTGTAAAACTGAAAATGTAAGTCTTCTGTAAGAATGAGTTAAGGAGATGTGGGGTTTACATATATAATGATGATGATGATGGATCTATGATTTCCAGTGACAAATATTACAAGCATATCAGGACAAGAACATGTATATGTGATTTCAATATGAACCATGCTTTGTTCTAGACCTGTTTGCTGAGAAAAATTTCAATATGCTAGTTCACAAGGTAATCTTCCCCAGCAACACATGTTACCCTACCCAGACGCATTTCTTCAAGCTGACCAGTATTTGCTCTTAATCCTAAATACTGCATGCATAGCAGAAAAGTAGCAAATGCAAATGTTCAAGTCTTTGGTTTGACCTGTCTCTCTTATTCGAAACCCCAACTTCCAACACTCAAGGCAAGGAGACAGCAACCACCAAATAAAATAATGAAATAAAATCTAAAGGGCAACAATGCACAGGTGTCTATATATAAATATGTCAAGCTCTAAATTGTCCTTAGTCTTTAAATTTTTTAAGTAAATTTGATTGATAACAGTTGTCAAATGCCATCAAAAATGTCATACATGTTAAATGCAAAATCCAGAAGAGGGTCAAAGTCAAAGATCTACCTTTTACCACCTATTTTCCAAATAATGAAAATGAAGATTGTCATATATCTACAACAACCACTGCAATTTTGGGGTTTCCAATTTTACCTTGTGTGAATACTCCAAATTCAAAGATTAGCAGATTTTTAATAGTATATAATTGAAAAAAACAATAGATGTGTTTCACACAATAGAAGTGACTTACAGAAACTATAAAACACTTCATGGACTGTCAAGACACTCAATACCAACAAGATTAAACAACTTCACAAACAAAACTTTGTCTTGATCATTTCTTTTGGAATGATTTAATTATCCATTTTGGATGTAGTAGTACACAAATCAACATGATCTGAAGATTCACCTCTGGTTTTAAATTTTCAATATTGGAGTGACAATTTCTGCATATGATGTCTGAAAAGACAATTTCATTTCTATAAAAAAAGTATCAAGGTGAACTGTAAGATACTTTTAAAAAAATACTATTTAAAGGGTTTTGCAGGATGTCATGATTAATTCTGTACATTTATCTCATGGTGAAGATATTTTTAATCAGGCCAGGAAAGTACATGTAAAGAAATGTGGCCAGCAACTGAAAGTAACAACAGATCAGATGTTAAAACTAATGAAGAAACAAGAAGAGGAACACCAGATGTTAATAGCAGCTGGTATACTGCCCAAATCTTCTCTGAGGTAACTGCTCTATGAGGTAGCTATTAATATGGACACCAGATGTTAATGGCAACTGGTATCCTGCCCAAATCTCATCAGAGGTAATTCTACTATGAGATAGTTATTAATGTGGACACCATGTGATAATATTAGCTGGCCATGGTGTACTACCTAATGTAAAAATATCAAGATTATGTATAATTGTGAATGAGACAATTATCTTATAGAGAACAAATGATTTAGATATAAGCAACTATAAGCCTTCAACATGAGCAGAACCCATACTCAATAGTTAGCTATAAAAGACCTGACATAACAAATTGTAAAACAAGTTAAAAACAAGAAAATCAATGGCCTAATGTATGTACAAAACAATAAACAAAAAATCAGATATGATAGACAGTGAACTATGACAACCAATGAATTTCAGACTCCTGACTTGAAGTTTACTCTGAAATAAATATTAAGATGAGTACCAGGCTGCACTGGATTTTTTTTCTCATGGAAACCCAACTGTTTGTGGATTGACCAAAAAATGTATTTTCATGAATTGTTGATTCCATGGTTGCAAACAAATTCTGCATACAATGAAAATTAAAGAAATAGACTTTTTTCACCACAAATTGTCAAATAATAATTAACTAGTACACGTGCTTAAATAAAAAAAACCATGTTCTATTAACTGATGTGGAATAACCATAAACTGTTTAAATGATGGCAAACTAGTATTTTAAGATATATTAGTAACACATTGAGTGTTGTGTATTCCAGTAAGCTGAAAGGTAAAGAAAGATCAAGTTCAGTTTCAACTAAAACTAAAAAAACTCCAAAAGAGCCTAAAAGGTAAGATTATCATATGATAAGCTTCATGAGGAAAATATTTAGTATTAGAAAGGGTTGTTACAGCATTGATTTATAGGGGTTGGTGGTCAGAATGCGCTTATATTGAAATTTGGTTGATGGTTGTAATTAAAGAAAGATAGCCTGAGCAGTTGTAAGGAACTATCAATCAAATGTTTTTGCATGACAAGGTAAAAAAATTTGTAAGGGTTCCACGGAACCCAGTGTCTCGCCTACTTTTGCTGTTAATCGCAGGCTCAACAAAAAAGAGGAAAAAAATTAATAAAAATATTCCTCTCTATACTATCTTTTGATTGTAAGTAGCTTCTGTCCAAGTTTGGTAAAAATCCAGGATAGTTTATGAATCTAATAAATGTTTTAAAAACTTAAACTGCAGACTGTATGTAATGTTAACTGGAAGAAAAACTAAGTCCATTTATAAGTAAAATACAGAAAAAATGGAATAAAATTTTAACAAAATTTCCTTCTGGATACTAGCTTTTAATCATAAACAAGCTTCTGTCCAAGTTTGGTACAAATCCAGGATAGTTTAAGAAAGTTGTTAAAATTTTAAAAACTTTAATCACAGAGTGAATGTAATGTTAACTGGCAGAAAAACTAAGTCCATTTATAAGTAAAATACGGAAAAAATGGATTTTTTTTTTTACAAAATTTACTTCTGGATACTATCTTATGATCATAAACAAGTTTCTTTCCAAGTTTGGTAGAAATCCAGGATAGTTTAAGAAAGTTATTAAAATTTCAAAAACTTTAACCACAGAGTGAATATTTGTGGACGCTGCCGCCGCCGACGACGCCGACGGAATGTAGGATCGCTATGTCTCGCTTTTTCGACCCCCATACATTTATTTCTGGAACAACACTTAGTGTCTGGAGCTGAATCCAAATGTAGTATTTTTTATATTGCCTAAGGTAGTGAAAAAAAATTGAGTTGTGATGTGTGCTTGTTTTTACATCCTATTGAGCAGATTTGACTATTTTAATGCAGATTTGGCATTGCACTTACAATTTTAAATTTGCATGAGGAAAACTAAATTTACATGCATATGGTATGTACTTTCTATTAGTTTATACATTTGCCCCTCTCCTGGATTTTGCATTTAACATTTATGACATTTTTAATGGCAATGGACAACTATTATCAATCAAATTTATATGTTTGATCTAGAACAAGTTATACCATACATATTTCTTAAAATGAAAATGCTTAACAAATCAGATGATTGAAAATTCAGAAATTAATGCATACATTTATTATTTCGAATCACTGATTACTGGTAAAAATGCTAGATCTACTGTAAATTCAGAAATTATTGCGTGCATTTATTTTTGCGATTTTTGAAGGATGGACTAAAATGCGAGATTAATTATTGCGATTTCAGGAAAATCTGCATACAGATATAAGTATAAGATATCAGAATGCGAGTTCTTATTATTGCGATCGTCATCCACTCGCATTATTCGCATTAATAAAAACCTCGCAATAATTTCTGAATTTACAGTATCTAATTCATGCGATTGCAACAATTTTGTGAAGGAGAACCACTACTTGATTTATGACTGCTAGTTTTTATTATTGGGAACCTGATACTGTCCCATTTTTGGCATTTATAAAAACATCACAATAATTTTTGAATTTACTGTATTTAAATTTTAACATTTTCTATTTTTAGCCAGTTTGATGCAGACTTACAAATGGCCATGGCTATATCAATATCAGAGAGTAAATCTGTTGACAAACCTGAAGCAAAGAAAGGCAAGAAAAAGAAAGGGTTGGTACATATATATTGTAAGGTACAAAGCTATAAGTACTTATGTGTTTAGAAATTTTGTAGACGTAAAGAACTGCAAGACTAGGAAATGTATCATTAAAAAAACTGTAAAATGAAATTCTGTAAATTATGAAATTTAGGCAATGTTCTTATTATTGTAAAAAATTAAGTATCACAGGAATGAAAACATGCATTTTAATAACCTAAATCATTTCCAGAAATTGTATCAATGCTATGTTGAGGGGTTGTAGGGTGGGGTCTTTGAAACATATTTCACATAATAGTGCAACAAATTTCTAATTAAAATTGTATGTGTATGGGATCTTGGGAAAAAGAGTGCTTTCAAACTCCCCCATTCATTTAATTAATACGGAATATGCCTTAATTTCACATCTTGCCTTTGACATTCAAAAGCCATAAAAAAATGCAGTCAATAATTTCTGAATATGAAATATGTATCAATATTAAAAAAAAATATGTGTAAATAGATATTACTATTCATATTTTATAATTGTAATAGTGTTCAAATTTGATTTGATATACTACTATAGGTAGAATATTTTGTAATTTCATTGGAATATATGTACAATTTACTTACATTTTTCAATGACCTTTTACAGACCAGGTGATCCACCCTTGTTAGTAGCTATGACCAACGAGGAGAAGAAAAGAAGATTGTCAATGAGAGTTACTAATATGTTAGTTCCTCAGGTACTTAAGTTAAAAACTTTTATAGTATACTGTATATTCAGATATTAATGAAAGCAATTATTACTGCGAATCCTTTTTCGCATTTATAAAAACATCACAATAATTTATGAATTTTCAGTATATATAGCAGTGTAAATGGGCTGTATCCAAACATATGGATTGGGGATCTAGCCTAGAAGTTATATTTATACTTATAAAAAGTGGGGGTATACTGTTTTACCTCTGTCTGTCCGTCCATCCGTCAGTCCATCCATCCATCCGTCAGTCCGTCCGTCCGTCCCATGAATATTTTTCATCGCATCTTTCTCAGGAACTACATTACAAGGATTTCTGAAATTTGGTTTCAGGGTTTATATGAGTCAGCTATACCGTGTGATGCTTTTGCAGACTCATCACTCAACAACTTCCTGTTTACCTTATACATTTAACGGGGCGGGGGCATCATTAGTGAGCAGTAGCTCACAGATTCACTTGTTTAGTTCTGATTTTTGTATTGTTATTTAAAATAGTCAGACACTGAGAAATTTTAATTATGCAGAGTTAATTTAATTTTATTTTGATCTATAGCACTTAGAGGCTAAAATCAGAAGAAAATGTTACAATTTTCAGTTTGATGAAGATGAATATTATGCATTAAATAAGTTTGCACTATCTATTAGAATGATTAGAAAGTGAAACTAGTGGAAGTTTAGAGTATTTATCAAATTCAGATTTTATGATGAAGATGTCTTGATAAATGTCTTCTGACCACATTCTAGTCAGTTATATTATCAGGAATGCCAAGTAAATGGGTTTGGTCACTCATGGCATACCTAAATAAATAGTAAATAATAAACCTTGAATAACTCTGGTACTCAAATAACCAGTTGGTTAAATAGCATGTCAGTGTAGTTTGGTTCTCCGGTATAGTCTAACCATTTGGGAGTTACAAGTGTTACGTCATATTTTTGGATATTCTCTGGTTGTTTGATGACTATTACACTAATGCTGTCACAATAATATATTTGTTTATGTCTTACACTGCATGTTTATCTGTATATAGGAAGAAGAGGAGAATGATACTGGTCTGACACCAGAGTTTGCCAGGAGTGGTATAGAAGATAAATATGTGTCACAGACATCACAGGTAGAAATACATTGTAGTATTCTTTTACTTAGAGGGGTCCCAAGTCATCTATATTAATCTAACCCTTACCATGCGCAACCTCACCTAAACCCAAAAGTAAACTGAACTCTTAAGACTAAGTTACAGGAACTCCCAAAGTAAAAGAGGGCAATACTAATAGCATTCCCTGTTTAGTCTTTGATTTAAAGAAATAGGCCACTAGTAATTTTTGGGGCCCTTTATAGCTTATACTGTTCGGTGTGAGCCGAGGCTCCGTGTTGAAGACCGTACTGTGACCTATAATGGTTTACTTTTATAAATTTTGACTTGTATGGAGATTTGTCTCATTGGCACTCATACCACATCTTCTTATATCTACAAACAATGTATACACTATTTAAGTTCAGTTTATAGTGATAAGTTTAAATTGAGTTGTAACTTATTGATCTTATTACCTGCATTGCCGAAGGCAGAAGCATGTCTAGTAAATGCTGGACTTTGGCCTCTCTATGAAAGGGATTGATTTAATATTTGGTCTGCAGCGATCTCCCGCACTCCAGGCGAACACGCTATCAAGAGACCACCAAGGAAAATTTTCGTCAAACTTTTCCTGGCTTCTTTTGAAGTGAATGATTTTTTAATATTTGGTCTGTGAATGATCAGTTATTGAACATGTTACCTCAATCAATTGAATGCAGTGATGCAGGTCCAGACCTGGTATTGGTCTTGTTTTCATTCAATCTTCTATTAATTTTGAATTGTGAATCAAATATGTGTTATCAGCTGTGTTTATAACAACAAACAATAAGATAGAATGAAGTATGTAGTCTTTGGATCTAAAAAAAATGGTTAACATAGAATATTCAATTGTCGCCCAAGTCCAATTGACATTGTATTTATAGCGCCTTGATTTGAATTTATCGAGATATAGATAATTAAGAAATGAGACAGCAACCCAAAAGACATCTTGTGGTCAACATACAGTATACAGCTTAGCAAGCTTTATATTGCCACAGTCTACAGAACTTATAAAAATATTTTACAGAGACTGTAAAAGATATGACAAACATAGAGATATGACCAAAGCATTTGATCAGGTTCTTTATTTTGGACAGACACAAGAATCAGGGCTTCCAAAAAATATTTGAGCCAGCCAGACATTTTATGTCTGATCCCGATTTTAATCCCTTAAGACTTAGTAACAAAAGGCAATTATAGTAATCAGTTGGCCATCATATAACCAATGATTGACATTAAAAAAAACGATATTAAACTTTACTTTGATATAAATTCGATGTTCTGACGTAAACTGTTAAATTGATAGTGCATCATTCAAAGTGTGCAACATCAGCGTACTAATATCTGCCTTAGACTCTTTATTTGTGCAAAATAACGTTGTCAAAAACTTTACTTTCGTTTTTAAAAAGCACATTTTCCTAATACCGGATGTTGACTTGACAATGGTAAAACATGGACCAGAGACGGATATGTAAAACCCATGTACATTTACAAAGCACGATTGAGTTTAAGTAGCTCTTTCTACGTTATTTCTTCAAGAAAATACTCGAAATGAACGTTTTATAAAGATATCAATGATAATTTTAACATTTTTGAAGAATTAGGATGCATAATTAAATTTCCCGCCTGCGCACATGCGCACACGTGTACTAGGCCTAGTTCAAACAATGTGGTTCTGACGATTTTTCGTTTAAAACCTTTTTAAATTTTTCATCAAATCATATTTTTAAACGTATTTCTGATAATTTCAATCTTTTTGACTAAATTAATTAGATGCAGACCGCTGAAATGTAAGAAAATAACTTTGAATAGACCGATTAATGTCCGGTATAAAATAGTTAACCTGTCGCCTGAACAAGTGAATTTCAGCTGTCTGACAACTAATCAACCTTGATTAAAATGAGAAGGTATTAAAGTAGGGTTTGTTTTGATAGTACTTATTCATCATGTCACTTTTATGATCGGAAATGTGTGGCTGTTTAAAGGCAAAAGGTCAGGTCAAAAAGATCGCATAAACTTTTAAAATTATGTTAAAATGTATTGACCGTCTCTTTAGAAAGCCTTAAAAACTAAAAGTAGATGTCTGTTTCATGCTTTTCCCAGACGGACAATGTCCGGTAAATTTATAAATGTCCTGAATATATGACCGTTTTGGAAGCCATGACAAGAATATATTGTTTTTTTCTAGGCTTAAATCCTCCTTAATAGTTTATAAAGCTAAAAGAAGTAAGCTGGCATCAATACTAAAGTAAGGCAACTTTGAGCTATATAATACCATTTTATTGATTCCAGATACCAAGCTTATGGAACAGATGTAGTTTACAATCAGAAAATAAAGAAAATTGGAAAAAAGAAACCTATTATGTTGATTGTTTAGTACCTCCTATAGAGGTCACCAATGTCAAAGCAGGATCAAAGATCAAAAGGATGTCTGAAATTCCAGGCAGGGATACTTCATTTATAAGACCAAAGACTCCAATAAAGACACCAGTCGCAAGGGTAAGTTAGTGAATGAATTTTATCAGTTGGGAAGATAATGAAATTAGCTATTTTCTGCATGAAAAAAACTTGCATTACTGTTAGTATACATAATACTAGTTTTCTCATTGGCAATCATACCACATCTCCTTATTTTTATATAAAAAAGGAAATATCGAAATGGAAGAAAACCTCCAAAAAACAGAGCCATCAAAGTTGAAAGCATTTATGGAGTAAAATGAAAATAAGACTTTATCATTTTGTGTATCCAGAAGGGCTTTACCTGATTTACCTTCATCTTTACCTGATTTACCTTCATCAGGAATGCTCTAACCCAAAAATTTGAAAGCCGTGGAAGTACCTATATGTTCAAGGGTTATGAGCTAGCTATATGGCCAAAATAGACCTGAAAAGAATAGCCAAATTGATCTAATAACAAATTTGCCTGAAGGAGTTGAAACCTAAGTTTCTTTGTAATTCCTATGTTATAAATCATGTTAGTACTTATGCACTGTCTACTGAAATGATAATACCATAAAGGACTAAGAGAAAAAAGAGTGTATTCATTAAATTGATGTCTTTTTGCTGAAGAAGCTACTTGGGACTATTTTGAACCTCCAGCATCTGTTTGTGTGTTCACATAGATTTCTCAGAAACCAATAACCATATAGTCATATAATTGGGTGTGCAGATGTATATTGCAGAGACTGAACATTTCCTGTAAAAACCATATTTCATGGTTCAGTAGCTTTTAAAATGTTTTTATCTTTATAAAACTTTACATCCATGTTCAGTTCTCAAATAAGAAAATTTGAATTATTTGTTGGAATGAAAGTCTGGTGTTGGAAGATATGTACTGATTAAATTTTTTTTGGTTACGTTTTTTGTACATATTGCCTTTAAATGCTGAATTTATCTTATTTAGATATCAAGAAACAACACTATATCAGAATCTGGGGATACCCAAGAGGAAATCTTAGTGGCATCTACACAAACAGCTGTAATTCTGGCAGAGCTAGCAGCTGATTCTTCTCAGTTATCTGTCCCTGATTTTGATTGTAGTGGGTTCTGTCCAGAACAGCCAATCAATATACAGGTAAATCAAGGACATTTTATTACTGCACCGTTGAATAACTATCAATATACTGACAATATCACTGATTTTACATGCATTCTATACAAATGTACATCGTTTTTTTTAGGATATCATAATTTCAGAAAATAAAAGTAATTGCAGATCATGCAAAATTTTTTCTAGATTTTTACTTTGAGGTAAATATATCCATGATATCAAAAAAGTTTTATGCCAAAAAATTGAAAATATGTGATTTATCCTGTGTATTTAAAATGCCGGTTTTGTTTTACCTAAATTACATTTTTATGTTCAGCCAATGAACAAACATTTAAGATAATATTAAATCAACACAATTACCTGTCTTGTTTCCAGCCTTTACAGAATACAGACTTGTTAGGAGGTTTACAGAAATCTATGTTGTCCTTAGTAAACAAATCTAGCCATGCTGATGTACAGATCCATACAATAGGTGGTGATATAGTATTTTGTCATAAAGTCATACTAAGCTGTAGATGTCACAGCATTCTACAGGTTTGTACTGTAAAAGTGGGATTACCAAATTTCCCTATTGACAATACATGACAGTTTTAACTTCAGCATTTATGAAAACATTTCATAGGTTATAAATATTTCAAGAAAACGTTCTCTGCAAAAATGTAAGATTTTGCTATATTTTATTTTTTTTAAAGCAGCATTTTAGAGGAATATTTGGTAACATTATGTTATAAAGGACAACTAGATAAATATTGAATGTTTGAGAACTCTAAAGAGAACCAATATATTCTGAGAGAATGAAAACTTGAATTATGTCAAATCTCTAACTATTTCTTGAAACACAACTTGAACCATTACTGCAATGACTGGATGAGTAGGCAATGTTTTAGTTATAAGTCTTGATTTATATTTACTTCTACATATAATTTCAGTATGAAGAAGGTGGTCATATTTACATGGAGGATATGGCAAGTGATGCTATGATCAGTATAATGAAATATATCTATGGTGGACTTGTATCAGTGACACAGAGCTGTTTGTCTGATGTTGTTAAACTAGCTGATAGGTAGGTCATCAATTTCACAAACATGATGACATACATTTATGTAGACTTTTGTTTCAGCTATACAAAATTCTATTGGTGAAGTCTCAGAAATAGGAGTTTTCTTACTAATGTAATGCAGTATATCTACAGGGAGATAGAGGTTTTCTCATGTAATACACAGTATATCTGTGGTGTTATGACTCCTTTGATTGAATAGAATTGTTTTGCTTATCTGTGGGGTACAAAAGGGGGAAATAGTCTTAATTTCTGAGTAGGAGCAAACGTTTCATTCAAACAGATAGCTTATATATAAAATATAGCTTATGCATGCAATATATAGCTTTAGTCTTAGTCTACTTGGATTTTTAGCATGAAATATTACATAAGACACTTTTCTATTGTTGAAGATTGTATGTTGACTTCTAACCCACATCTCCTTTAATCTAGGAAATAATATAGACATTGTATTGGGTCATATATATATGCTTCTTTGCTATAAATAAGATTTTATTTTGAAATATCTTGGATGAGCTGTTTCAAACATAAAAGGTATGCTATTGTCATAGACAAAGACCCATGGAGACGAACATGATAGTTATAAAGTAAAGTTCGAGTAGGTGACCAAACAATTGGAGAGTTTCTGTATCAAAGGTTGTAGGAAAATTGTTATGCTTTGGATATTGTGGGTCTAGAGGACCAAGTGATTTAAGAAGTTAATGTACAGTAATTACTGGCCTTTCAGTGCTTAGTTTGTCATAAGTTTGAACTTTACTCGTGACAAGGTGTATTTGTCTCCGATTTTAGCTGACAAAGATTGCTAGTTTAGACTTGCCCCAACTTTTCACTTTTAAAACTTTATTGAAATAACAAATTGGAAAAAAAAAGCCTTATCAAAACAGAAATAATGATAAAAATTATTTTATATAATTTACAGATTTAAGATTACAGAATTACAAGAAATCCTGAAAGAGTTACATTCCAGTCAACGGTCAACTGAGGCTAATAGTCCAATAAAATCAGAGACTGCATCACCAAATAAAACATCTGTGGAGAGTTTGCTTAAACAGCTGTGGAGTGATTCTGAAGAGGAGGAAGATGATGGTCAAGGTCAAAGGAAGTCAGGAGAGGATTCTGGGATGGAACAAGAACTTTTCTGCTCCCAGAGTTCTTATAGTGAAAATCAGAAATCCCCTGTAATGTCAGGTCAAATGTCAGATGGAATTAAAAATTCTCATTTGAATCAGAATTCTAGATATGAGAATAAAACAAATATTGAAAATCTGGATACTGAATCAGCACTAAATTCACCTTTGAAATATGTGCAGGAAAATTGTGATTATAGTCACAGTAAATCAGGAACTAAAACTGTAAAAAATACATCGTTGATATTTGAGAATGATGAATTAGAAGTTTATAGTAATGTCAGTTCTTCATTTGAGAAATCACCAGAGAAAAATCATCCAATAAAAAATTTGGAATTGGAAAGCGGAAATTCTAAAAATATCAGGCTCGAAAAAAGATCAATTAGTCCTCCAGTAATTGCAGACATTGATCATGCATATTCACCAGAAATCCCTATTATTCAGAGTTCTCAGATTATCACAGAAAAGTCAGATCAGGAGAAATCTCTTTCTGCAGTCCCTGATAATTGTCTTGTGACTAAACATATACAAAAGAATGATAAGGATTGTGCGAACTCTGAAGATTTACTAGATGATTTACCTCTATTAAAAAGTCCACGAAAATCAAGACTTTTAAGACAAACAAGAGAAAATACTTTTAAAAATATTGATTTAAATTTTCAAGGGAAAGATAGCAGGCAAGAATGGAAACATCAGAGTCAGACAATAGCTACAGAAGAAGAAAATGAAAATGAAATTTTAATGAATAAAAAACCAAGAAAAAATTGCAAGAAAAACGATGATGGTAATAATGGGATGGAAACTTTAAAAAAAAATAATAATGCTGTAACTGGAAAAGAAATTGACCTAAAATATGGAAACAAAATCCTTTTGCCTGATAAAAGTACAAATGTTAATAAAACTATGCATGATAGTTTTGATAACAGTAATGATAGTTTAATTGTTGTTGATCCAGAGGATAATAACCATAGTAACAATGATTTGAAAGTTGACCTGACCAATGAGGATATCAGGGATGTCACTCATGATCAAAGATACAAAGACAATGACACGGGTTTAAATTCTAGTTTAAATATGTCTGGTGGTGATTTGTTTGCAAGTCCTTCTCCGACTATCCAGAGAACAAAAACATGCCATAGTAGACTGACATTATCTCAGGATGTGATCGATGTTCGGGGTGAGACTAGTTCTGCAATTACAAATTCCAATTTGGAAACACTGAAGTCTCCTGCTTTTAGAAAATGCAAAAGAAAAACATCAGAAATGGAAACACCAACAAAGAAATCCCCATTAACCAAAAAGATAAGGACCAACATGGAGGCTAATGATATTTCAATTATTGGAGATAATTTTGATCAATTATCTTCTCAGGAATCAGAATCGCCAAAGTTTAAAGCAAGAGAGAAGAAATGGAAATTCAGTTCTAGGTCTAATTTTATGAAAAGTCAAGATATAACTTTTTCTGGTCCAGTCAAACTTAATGAAATCTCGGAACATTATGAGGAATTATCAGATAACCACGACTTGAATAGCAGTTCTTCAAAACAACATTCCAAAACAGTAGAAGTAACTAATGCTACCGATAATTTGAATGATAGTGGATTTGAAATGAATTTAACCCAATCTAATTTCCAAGGGGATATAGATGAAAAGCATAAATCCTCTGATGAGAATGAAGATGAAGTTAGTCTCATCACAGGTGGAGAATCAGACATTGAGAGGAAAGATACTAATGTAACCTTGGAATATGATATGAATGTTGCCATAGAAACAGATGATGTGTCATGTGACGATGTTTGGGAAGATTTTGATGACTGTGGTGGGGATGATTTTGATGGTATCATAGCTTGTAAAACTCCATGTAGACCTGTCACTGATCAGGTAAGGAGGGGAAAGGTCTTTGTTGGTATCATAGCATGTAAAACTCCATGTAGACCTGTCACTGATCAGGTAAGGAGGGGAAAGGTTTTTGTTGGTATCATAGCATGTAAAACTCCATGTAGACCTGTCACTGATCAGGTAAGGAGGGGAAAATTCTTTTTCATTAGTTATCTTATAAACATTCAATATTTTATAGTAAAAGGTTTTTATATATATATAAAAAAATCCCTGTATCTAACAACAGGATCGTTCTACCATAAATTGTTGTTTTCAAAACAGTAAGAGAGAATTTTTCAATCCAAAAATATACTGTAAAAGTAGAAATTTTTAAGATGTTTTTATTGTTGCTGAAATTGCGATGGGATAGGTTTTGTAAAAAAGAGTCGCATTTAAAGGTATTTTTTATGCCACTTTACATTTATTGAAATCACAATAATTAATCATGCATTTTAGTATATTGTAACAAAAAATTGGAATAATAAATGCACACAAACATTTCTGAATTTACAGTATATGGATTGTGGAATCAAATTAAAATAAGGTGATATGGTATTATTGCCAAACACAACTATCCATTAAAGACCAAACAATCATAACAAACAGAAACTAACAACTGGATAATAGACTTCTGGTTTAGGATAGGCACATAAAACATGTGGAAGGGTTAAACAGTGAGCAGTGAGCAATTTTAACTTTGTTATACATTGATCTTGCTGATTTTTCTGCAAAGTCAAAGTTTTTTATTACCTAAAATATCTGGATTAATGGCAATATGATATACCAAATCTAAAATGAAAAAAAAAACTTGGCCCTATGCCTTTCATTTTTCCACTTGGGTAAGAAATGTTCTGTCTTTTGATCTCATTCTTTTACATTTTACTTAGGAAAATAAATATTTCATAGCTCATGGAATTGCGAAAAGACCTTATTATTCTAGAAGTGTGTATGTGGGTTGTAGTTTAAAATTGCAACACAGTAGTCCCTTTTATTTCTTGTATCTGTATAACTACATTTATATTTGCTGACATAAAAATCCTAATGAAATCTTTTAATACAACGAAAGGAAATTCTGACAAGTGAGGATGCAAAAGGAAATGAAAGTTCTGCAAAGTCTGACAGAAACAAACATCAGGAAAACCATGATCAGAATAAACATTTTGAAGAGCCAGCTGATCAGATTGAAGAGTCAGAAAACCTGACTTTTTGTGATGAAAGTTTTGCAATTGATGAAAAACCATCCACATCTACAGATCAGGTACACAGTTATTGTTATTGGTATGCTACCTGTTAAATGTTATTTCTTCTTAACATGAGTATGCTGGATTGAAGGGTACCTGAAAACTATTTAGATTGTTGATGCTAAAGACATCACACAAAAAATAATTGTGTATGTATATTTGAAATAGATTATGTACATTATGTAATTGATGCGGAACTTCCAGATTAAAAACAAACAATGAATGAACTCAAGAACACTTTCCTTTCTATAAAGGGATATAATGTCTATGTAATTAATTGATTTGATTATACCCATATTTTTAATTTTTGATTATCAAGTTTAATATACATGATATATTAATGGTAATATAGATATGGTTATATTTAATTTCTGAAATTATGTGATTTTGATTTCTGAAAAATCCTAAGGTTAAATTTCAGTATTCTTTCAAGACCCCAGTTATGAGTAAAGAAAGACAGAAAACAAAACAAACATGGAAGGAGCCTTCACCATTTACTCCTATGCCAAATTATGATTCCATGGCAACTCCACAAATTAAGGTAAGCTATTTTTACTCCTATTTCTAGTTTTGTTTGGACTTTTATTGCTTTTACATTTCCTCAATTCAGTTTTCTTAAATGGTTATATAGATAAATATTATATTGAAAATTTGAAAACTACTTCTGTTGCTCTTTTAGTGTAAATTTAGTTTTTATATTGTAACAAATTGATTTAGCTTGTAAATCTCTAGCCAAACTTTATGCTAGGCTTCACAGATTGCCTCAATGATTGAGATTTAGATGCAATATTTCCAATATAACAATAATTTTAGTTGTAAGTATATAGAGTCAAAAACTTAAAAGAATTTGCTTCAAGATAAAACAGATGACAAATATCTGACTTGTAAAGCACTAGGTCAGCAACTTGAAAAAGCATTCTGTAATGACAGCATGTAATCTTTATATAGTTGAAATGGTAATGAACTGTTGTACAAAGCTACATTATTGTCAGATTTGTAAATAGCTTAGTACAAGATGTTGGGGATTAAAATCCTTATTTATGTATTGCTTATGAAAGTTAAGGTCTGGTTCTATGGAAAATAAAGCTATTAGTATATCAATGTTGTTTTGTTGGTATAGAGAAAAGTACAAAACTATGGAGTAAAACCTGTTGGCAAGAAGAGAATGATCAAGTTACTGAAGGATATCTACAACAAAACTCATCAATGTAAGTATACTGTTAAAATAAAAGATATCTACCACAAAACCCATCAATGTAAGTAAACTGGTTACAATAAAGGATATCTACCACAAAACACATCAATGTAAGTTTACTGTTAAAATAAAGGATATCTACCACAAAACCCATCAATGTAAGTATACTGTTAAAATAAAGGATATCTACCATTAAACACACCAATGAAGGTGTACTGTTAAAATAAAGGATATCTACCACAAAACACACCAATGTAGATATACTGTTAAAATTAAGGATATCTACCACTAAAACACATCAATGTAGATATACTGTTAAAATTAAGGATATCTACCACAAAACACACCAATGTAGATATACTGTTAAAATAAAGGATATCTACCACAAAACACACCAATGTAGATATACTGTTAAAATTAAGGATATCTACCACAAAACACACCAATGTAGTTATTCTGTTAAGATAAAAGATATCTACCACAAAACGCCAATGTAAGTGTACTTATAAAATAAAGGATATCTACCACAAAACACATCAATGTAGCTATACTGCTAAAATAAAGGATATCTACCACAAAACACACCAATGTAGATATACTGTTAAGATAAGGATATCTACCACAAAACACACCAATATAGATATACTGTTAAGATAAGGATATCTACCACTAAAACACACCAATGTAGATATACTGTTAAGATAAGGATATCTACCACAAAACACACAAATATAGATATACTGTTAGAATAAAGGATATATACCACTAAAACACATCAATGTAGATATACTGTTAAAATAAAGGATATCTACCACTAAAACACACCAATGTAGATATACTGTTAAGATAAGGATATCTACCACTAAAACACACCAATGTAGATATACTGTTAAGATAAGGATATCTACCACAAAACACACCAATATAGATATACTGTTAGAATAAAGGATATATACCACTAAAACACATCAATGTAGATATACTGTTAAAATAAAGGATATCTACCACAAAACACCAATGTTAGTATACTTCTAAAATAAAGGATATCTACCACAAAACACATCAATATAGATATAATGCTAAAAAAGGATATCTACCACAATTGTATACATCATATATATATATTGAGAATTTACATTTATATGACACAATTTTTATCTAAAAATCAAATCATTCAAAGTTCTCCTTGCACATTATATAGGGACAGCACAATAGCGTGATTAGAAATATCAAAACTATTTTAATTTAGCTAGCTCTCAATTTATAAAGTTTTGTTATAAATTAGATGAAACAGACAGTGAATTTGAAGATGAGGTTGATGAAAAATGCAATGAAAATACAGATGTTAGAAAGGATGACACTGATAATAATGTAGATGATAATGATGATGACGAGGAGGATGAATTAGAGGACAGTTTGAATGACAGCCAGGAATCACAAAACAGGTACTGTAAATTCAGAAATTATTGCGATGTTTTTATTATTGCGAAAAATGCGACAGGGTTATAATCGCAATAATTTGAACTCGCATTTTGAAATTTTTCATATGAATTAAACAGGATTTTTCTCAATATCGCAAAAATTAAAATCGTATTTTAGTCTAAAATGACAAAATCGCAATAATAAATGCACGCAATAATTTCTGTTTTAATCTATATTGATATTAATTTCTGATATACTCTGGTCTTTATGACTATATTTATGCCCCCCGTCGTAGAGGAAGAGGCATTAAGTTTTACCCTTGTTCGTCTGTCCATCCGTACGTACGTCCCAAAATTGGTTTCCATTCTCTAACTTGCTAAATTGCTGAGTTTTTCCTTTCCGTTCACTTACTTTAGTTTGCCTCTACCAAATGTTATGAATCTTATACACAACGCTAATTACCACAAAACACAGATCAAGTCTGAATTTTGGTGGCGTCACTTTTAGCGTTCTAGAGTTATGCCCATTTACAAATGGAAAAATTGCTGAATTTTTTGTTTCCGTTCTCTAACTTTAGTTTGCCTCAATCAAATGTTATGAAACTTATGCACAATCACAATGCTTATTACCACAAAACACAGATCAAGTTTAAATTTTGGTGGCGTCACTTTTACCATTCTATGGTTATGCCCCTTTACAAATGGGTCTGTCCATTAAGCCATGACATAAAATGGGACATCATAGTTATATTTTAGAATGTGACACAGGTTGAAAAAGAAATTGATTCAGAAAGAGGATATACCAAAGCATCCAGAAAAATACAACAGAAGACAGTTTGACCATTATAAAATTAATTCTTTTACCAATCCACATTTGTAACACATGTGACATGTCAAATATCCATTTCAAAAAAAATTAGTTATGAAATCTTCTTCACTTTGAAAGCAGTCTCAACAATGCTAAAAAACAAAAGTAAATGTCATTTGAATTAAAACAATTAACCAAATGAAGATTGGGCAATGTTTTTTAAAAAAAAAATTTTTATAGCATATGTGACCGATATTTTGACAATTGATTTATTATTTGTAAAAAAATCCTCCAAAAAGTATTGCCATAAAGTGACAATTTATGTTTTACAAATGTAATGGAAATTATATTTGTAACACAGGTTTAATGAAATTATGAAGGAAAAAGGGAAAAAAAAAGCATTTTTTTTCCAACATACATGACATATGTGACTTGATATTTTGACATCTGGTATAACATATGTGACTTTTTACAACATTTATATTTATCATATGATTTTCTAGATTCAATTTAATTGTAAATGCTAATTAATTAAGTGTGGATATTTATCCTAGGATTTATAGTTTCTTCAATTCAATACTAAATGCATATTTATTTTAATCTAGTATTTAATATCACAGTGAGACAATATTTATGATGTTTCACTTCCATTCTGCAGTATTATAAGAGGCCCAATTCTGAAATTTGATAAATTATACACAAACAGGACAAATCAATGCAAATGAAACACAATGAACATGATATAAGAATGTGGTAATCGGAGGAGCATTTTCCTGCTATGAACTAATGCACTTTCAATACTGTCAACAGTGTAAGAGTCTAATTGAGAAACCTAATCTTGTAGCAAATGTTTTGATCAGTATATAAGAGAGGCGGAAGATACCAAAGGAAGAGTCAAACTCATAAGCCGAAAACAAACTGACAATGACATGACAAAAAACGAAAGAAGTTTAAAGAACAAAACAACAGTCTACAAAACACAAAAAAAGGGTCAGGATTGTGGTAACGACAATTAGAACATAACCGTCGTCATCTGTGAAACAGATATTCCATAACGGTCAACAATTCATGAAGGTGACTTTACAATTTTCCAAGGGATGATTTCAACTTCACTTTTTGGAACTCTTGCTTAAATAGCTTCCTTGTAAGCAGCAACCCTCTATCAAGGAAATCATGATAGGAAATACAAGCTCTGGAATATCGTAACAACTGGGAAATATGGTCTTCAAATGCAGGCGCTGCAAACTTACTCAGATTTGAATGGTAAAAAGCAATAGTATCAAATCTTTCATGAATATTTTCAGTGATTTAGTAGAGGAGAGTGTCATGGTGTGTACAGAAGAAGAAACTCAGCCTCTTAAGGTATTTATGTAGATAAAAACATAGCTAGCTACAAAAACAACATAAAAGGATTTATTTCATATTTAATTTCTTCATGTACTATTTTACATAAAAGATGATTACTAATTAATCTGTATACTGTTGATTCATTTATTATCATGGGTACCAATTTTCTTGGATTGAGGGAAAGTTGTATCTTCATGGAGACTTATTTTGTGGTTTAGGAAAATTCTGCTTACACTCCTAGTGAGAATTTAAATTTCTTTGAACGTTTAAATTTGTAGTTCATCTCACTCAACAAATCCACAAAAATAAGTACCCCACAAATGATAACGAATTCAAAATATTAAAAGAAACACATTTATAGAAATTCAAAAAATAATAATCTTCTTTTGAAGCAGCAGCAGCAGTATGGTCAATTTTGATATTATTATTGCATTTAATAGACACCAGATACCATTAGAGAGACTCTGATCATGTGCAGGACAGTGTTAACATGTTATTATATGTTATTTGAAAATGGAATTTGAGCTCATATTCCCTTTTAGTGTTTTTAATCCCCTGAGCCAACAAGCAAAAGGGATATAGGGCACTGACAGGGAATATGAGCTCTTATCCCTTGTAAAGCCAGAATAACAATTATATAATACAGGAGTGTCCAGATTTCAACATAAATTACCATTCTGACCTTCATTTTCATTCAAAGGGTAAATGGGGCCATATTTCTGTCAAGGTAACTAATCCTATTGTAGGATTAGCCCAGATATTTTACTCCTGTATAATACTTGTATTTATATTTGTAGATTTGAAAGTTCATGAAAACATACTTTTTATGTATATTACATTATATACTATGTGTTTCAGCCTGGGGAGAAGAGTTTGAATGAAAAACTGATGGAATTTATCAGAAAACAACCAGACATACAAGTCAGAATTCTTATGTATGAGGTAATGTTTATATTTATACCAACACTTACTGCAGCGAAATGATTGTCGCCCTTGTAATGGATGCGCCCATGATATTTTTATTAGAGTTAGTTTTTGAGGCATTTATACTGTTGAGAGGGGCAGAGTATGTATGTGTTAGATTACATTGTGTGCAGTTAAGGCAGTTCGTGTTAAAACAATATAGTACAACAAACGACATAATTTACGATTTTCAATGATATTCCCAATCGCTACGATGTCAATATTTACATGTACACAATCATGACTATTGAAAGTGTTTTTGTTTTTTACCCTTGACTTTCGTGACGACTTGATATGAATTATAAATAGTATACATAACTTTGAGTAACTTTGAGTAACGAGCCATATCTAAGACTAAACTCCTGTGTCATACATAGATGAACAATATAGCTTCAAATACATGTAGCAGCAACTGTTTACATGTATTTTCAAGTGTGTGCAACTATTTTGTTTCACAAAATATAAAAAAAACACTTACTGCAGCAAAGTATCAAATGAGCATTATAAACTTTTGTTTGTGTATCCACACATTCGCTTCAATCTACACTGAATTTTAATGAAACTTTCTCAGAATCTTTTAATAGTACTAGTGTAGAATTGTATTTTAGGGTTTCTCATAGCAAATAGGTTAGGCATCTTGTATCCCTAACTTTAAAACGGCTGACTTAATTTAGTGAAAGTATCACAGAAAATGTCCTACATTATGGCATTTTGCATCTCATACTTTTATTTTTCTTATCCGTATAATTTTTGTGATCCATAAAAGCAAAACAGTATGATTGCCAATGAGACAACTATCCACCAGAGACCAAAAGCTGTAGATGTTAGCAACCATAGGTCACTGTGTAGCCTTCAACAAAATCCATAACGCATAGCAAGCTATAAAAGACCCGAACAGGACAAATATAAACAAGAAAACTAATGGCCTGATTTATGAAACTAAAAACAAATATGATATACAGTAACAAAAGACATCATCTGCATTGGCCTCTGACTTGGGTTAGGCACATTCAGAATATGGCAGGGTTGGAGATGTTTGCAGAAGCCCAACCATCCCCTAAAATGGGACAACAACACAACATATAAAGAACAAATTAAAAAAAAGTTAAAAAGGTTGACTCATCAGATGGATCCAAAGCATTAATAAGAATTTTTGTTGCATGATTTGGAGTTTCTGTCTTTTTCAATATTAAAATCCATTAATTTGCTCTTTATAGTAAAAAGATTAGGAAACCTTTTACAACATATATCAATCTGATAAGTAACTGTAGTCAGGCATGATGTCTGTATCTGCCTTTTTGTCCAAAATCAACCCTAAAAAAGAACAACACAAATTTTTCTCTTTTCATAAAAAAAATTCAAATAAAATTGATTGTAAGTTATACTTACCAGTATTTTTTCTTGTAAGATTTTTTGTGAAATTGACTATTGTATTTGTAGGTAGATTTGTACTAAGATTCAATATTCTTCATTGACATTTGTTGATGTGATTCTGTATGTTAAATATTTTAAGTAAAATGATGTACAATGTGTAGTCTACTTTGTTTTAGCCCTTAGAGTTGGATATATTGAAACAGAAGATTACTGAGGCAGAGATAAAGTGTTCTATGGAAAAACTGAAAGAGTTCTTAGATGATAAGGTTAGAAGAATCTTTATATTTATAATTAATATATAATACATGTCTTAAACAACTTTTTTAGATTTAAGTTATTATTGTATAAAATGTTGTAAGAATGGGAGCTGATGATAAAGTTAGAAGAATCATAAAATTTAGAATTCATATATAATATTTTGGTGGTGTTCGTGTTGCTCGGTCTTTAGTTTTCTATGTTGTATTTTGTATACTGTTTTCTTTTTTTTTTTTGCCATGGCGTTGTCAGTTTATTTTCGACTTATGAGTTTGAATGTCCCTTTGGTATCTTTCGCCTCTCTTTTACATGTCTTAAACTAATCTTTCATATTTTAGTCATTTTTTTACAAAATGATTTATGAAAGAATGGGAGCAACCGCTACATTGAGATTTGATGTTATTTGGAAATATAATCCATAGCCCCATGTGCTGACACAGCATTCAAAGCTCTTCAAACATTTGAATACATCAGGATATCCTTGTCCAATCCCTACTTTGTGCTGATAATGGTAGGTATGGAAGAATTCTTTCAGCCCTGATAATATCTGAAGTTATTGGACTCGTGCTAATTATGTAAAAAAAGAGTAAATTCAATTGTTAGCTAACAGTTGATAATCTATGAAAGTCTAAAAAGTTTGGTCCTTATATTAAGATTATGAACTTGTATTAGGTTTCGCCTGAGTGATTTTGAATTTATTTTGAACTTGTTTGTGGCAAACAAATTTTCCTGTCATATGTAAAAAATAACTGCTTAACTATAATGTACCTTTCTAGACTAGTTTTCTAATAGGTTCCCACTTACAAGTTTCTCCTTCTATCATTCAAGAATGTAGTCTCTAAAATAAATGTTGTTTTATTATTTTTTGGCCTATTTAAATAATTAGATAGAAGCCAATAGTCTTTTACAATTACTTCCTATAAAACATGCATCTGGGATGAGAAATACAACACTTTGGGGTTTGGGGAGAGATAAGCAGAAGTAAATTTAAAAAGTTAACATGTTAGCATCTTTGTGGAGATTTTGGTCATAATGACCTCATTTGCAACTGAGGGGTTTGACATGTACAAGATTTTAAGATATCTTGTGAACCTTAATATTTCCAATTAAGAGAAAGTATAAACTAAAAAAATTGCCAGATTTTGTGCAGGATTTAGAAAAGAACTCCCATTTTGATTTCTTATATTTCAATATTACTTTCATATTTTCATGTAGGATAGTTTAGGTTACATGAGAATAAAATATTTTATTTATTTGACCTCCATGAAAGTATTTTATGATAGGATGAATTTGGCTTGATTCTGTTAGACTTTCTTCTTTTAGCAAATTCAAAGTTTAGCTTCCTTGCAAACATAAAGTGTAGAGTTAACTATTTAGTTGTCAAGATTCATCAATAGACAATGCAGTTGGTTCTTGGAATAGATCAGTAATGTGAACATATACTGATTACAGTGTTTGAATTAATCATGGTCCCTCCTGTGGAAATAAATCTAGTATTGGTTCAATGGATTTTAGAGATTGCAGGAATATGAAAGTTGGACTGAGTGGTAAATGCAAAATTGAAGATTACTATCAGATGGTAGACTTGAAGTTTTCTGTTGTTCACAAATAGTTTAAGACATAGTTAATTACCTGAAAAATTGAAATGTAAAATAACTAATGTATAATAAGTGTTGTTTTATCCATTTCAGTGTATTACCTTCACAATGAAGAACATGAGAAAAAGTCCAAGGAAGAAAAAGCGAAGTCCAAAGAAAAGAAAGGCCACTGAAAACAGTCCAACTAAAAGTAGTCCTGTCAAAGGTCAAGGAAGAGGGAGAAAGAAACTGAATCCTTCCTAACACTCTGTTGTAATCTTGGATAGATAATTATTTATATAAATGTATAGATATGGCAGTGTGAACAGTTACCTTACATTTTTGTTATTCACTTTCATCACATACTCAATTGTAAATATATGATGTTAATTTATCAGAATTTTTAACTACAATGTAGATGAAGTTAGAGATTTTACATATATTGACTTGAAAAGCACTGTTGTATATAATGTACTGCAGTTATTTAACAATGTAATATTAAATCCTAATACCACTGGAATTTAAGTAACCAAGAATCAATTAATCAATCAAATCTTAGTGAATTGTGTACTACTTTAGTTGTAAAGATTACATTTAAGAATGAATTTCCAAGTAAGTGGTTGTTAATGAATAAACATTTTCTGGTAAAGACTTTATGCTGTATATTTTTTGTTTCTACTCATTAACAGCTATCCAAATCAACTTATATTTATATATATATATTTATATTGCTTTTTAAAAGTATAAGGTATTTGTACATGTATATTTGAATGCAGAAAATGCAATGAAAAATAAACACCAATTTAAACAAAATTTAGTTACTTAATATTTTTTTCTTGCTAATAATATGCATTTTCAATGGAATATGTTAAACTTAAATAAAAGATATGCTACACCTTCCTTTGAAGATTCCTCTTTCAAACCATATCAAAATCATTCAATTGAAAATTGTTTATAGTTTATAAAAAAAAACAAATGTACAATATCTGTACACCTTTTAAAATTGAAATATTTAAAGAATGGTTCCAACTAGCTAAAAAATTGGATGCCTTTGGTTTCTTATTCAGTGCTGAATTAATGGAAACAATATTAACTTATACACATGCATTTAAATTTATCTTGGATGTTTACAGTGATTAACATCATGAAAGTTTACAAACAGGGAACATAAAAACAAATGTTATTGTTGCTTATGTTCCAAGATAAAACACCAAATCTACAGAGATGTTAGACCCCATAGTTGTCCTTATCATTGTATCTCATTATGGACCTTTACAGATACTAAAAATACTCACAATAAGCTAAGTCAACTTCCATATGATTATATTATAGTCAAAACTTAGATAACTTTGTACTTAAACAACATTTAACAAAGTTTTATTATTTTATAGTTATTCCACTTTAAACAGTAAGTAAATCTTATTCAGGACTTAATCACTGGCTTATTGGCAGACGACTTTACATAGTGTATAGATATGTTAAAGATTCATGTCAAGGACCAGACCTATATCATTGAATATAAAAATAAAAAGATGAGGTATCATTGGCAATGAGACAACTCTCCACAAGAGACCAAATGACACAGAAATTAACAACTATAGGTCACCGTACGGCCTTCATAATTGAGTAATACCCATCCCGCATAGTCAGCTATAAAAGGCCCCGAAATAACAAATGTAAAACAATTCAAACGAGAAAACTAACAGCCTGATTTATGTACAAAATAATGAACGAAAAATCAAATATGATATACAACTACAAACGACAACCACTGAATTACAGGCTCCTGACTTGGGACAGGCACATACAGAATGTAGCGGGGTTAAACTAGTTTGAAGGCGCGCCAACCCTCCCCTTAACCTGGGAAAGTGGTGTAACAGTACAACATGTATAAGAACAAACTATAAAAATCAGTCAAAAAGGGCTTAACTCATCAGATCGATACAGAGCAGAAATACATCTAACAAAAACACAGAGTGGACGTGGCAGGGTACTTATAAATCTCCCACAACAAAAAGACACTAAGTACAGATCTGAGAGTACTCGCAGGTACTGACAGCTAGTTCAAAGCCAATCACAACGGATATTAAAAAAAAATCATGCATCTAAGACTAAAATATCAAACCGTGCACATCCAACATCCAATGGATGTAGTGTAAAGACGTCATTAACAGTCAGAGAAAAACATGACCTATTGCAATGCTAAGATACAGGTATCGACAGATTGTATAGCCATGAATGTGCATATGTATATAAAAATAATATATAGTTGATTTTAATTTACTGATAACAAAATCAATATTGATACTTATAAAAACAATATTCAAAGATCTAATTATAGTGTTGAATTGCTAACCTTTTAGAATAAGTTTACTTAAAGGATCGATAAGTTTACCCAAATGGTATCTAAATTTCCGGGCTCGGTAAACAACATCTAGTAGGCTATATTCTGATGTAAATCTTAATTTTTGAAGCCATTTTTGTAGGGTTGCTGCTGTTTTGACATATGCATTGAACCTTATTTAATTTATTGATGATTATATTATATGGTTGAGTGGTATATAAGAACAGCACATAATGACAGATAAGGGTATTTATTTCATGGACAGAAAAAAAAAATGTATCCTAAAATTCATTTGTTTTATTCTAAGATCAGATATTTATTTCTAGTGCCTCGATAGACATTTAGCTTTATTCTGAACTTTTTAATCCATCTCTTTTAATGTTTTCATCTTCTCCCAAAGTAGTGGACAATCTGCAACTAAATTATGTGAAATAATACACGAAAGGTTTATAAAATGTCCTTTTGGGATTTCAGTGAATGACAATTATGATCACCAATGGCATATTTTTATTTGTTGATTTTCATTTTTGATAAATAATTTTATATATTCTAGAAAAACAGTTATTCAGACTATGCAGGAAAAGTTTTTGAATGTCCTTAATGCATTTTTCTAATTTTGTTCAATTGAAATTAAAATCTCATGGTTTCAAAGTCATTGATTGATTTTAGTTTAAATTACCCTGTCTAGTGTAAAGAACCATGTGATCTGTTGTCAGTTATCCTTCAATCATACAGACAATTCAAATTCACATTATCATGATCTCTTCTAAAACAACAAGGCCATATTGAACCAAACTTGGTAAGAACAGTGTATCAGTGGTTCCAATTGGAGGAAAAACATGGCTGCTTGGTACACTAGTTGATTGTAATTGGTCAGATTTAAAAAAATCTGATTCAACACAGTGAAATTATCTGGAAGTATAGGAGATTGATGATTGGAAGCACCAGTACGAAATATCCTATAAATTTATTTTGATTTGGATAGAAACATGACATTATTGCTGGCACATAGATCTCATTGATGCTTTATAGAAAGTATTTTTCTTTTCCTTTTTGAAAAATCATTGTCAATTTTGACCACATTAAGCAGGAATGATATATAAAAGGTCGATATATAAAAGGTCATCTACAAATGATCATCCTTTGGTTCCAATCAGATGAAAACCATGGCTGCCAGATGCATTATATAAATTTGATTGGTCATTTCAAAAATCATATGCTTTGAAACTATGAAGCAAAATATTGTTGAAAATCCCTCTGTGAATGATCCTCATTTGATATTATTGTATGGCAAAAGAAATTTCCCATGGAAAATCACATTTCCTTCTCTGAAAATGCTTTTCAAATTTTAACCAAATTTGGGGGGAATGATTTATGAAAGGTAGTCTACAATTGATGCACATTTCTTTCTTATCAGATGCAAAATATTAGTGCTAGAGGTAATCTTTTCTTTAATGTGGACTTTCTTTCCAATATTTAGAAATGGCAAAGTCCATGTTCTGTTATGAAAAACTCAAACATCAATCTCATCCAAAATTAAAAATAGATAAACAAACTATATTTTGTTCAATTCATATTGTAAATTTTGCATTGACAAACAATCACATATGTAGAATTGGTAAATTTTATAAAATCCACACAATCAATCTGATCTGATGCAAACATGGAGATGTATAAAGTAAAATAATAAAAATTCCTAACCACTAGGGAAAATTCAAAACGGAAAGTCCTTATCAAATGGCAAAATCAAAAGCTCAAACACATCAAACGAATGGAAAACGACTGTCATATTCCTGACTTGGTACAGGCATTTTCTTATGTAGAAAATGGTGGATTAAACCTGGTTTTATAGCTAGCTAAACCTCTCACTTGTATGTCAGTCGCATAAAATTCCATTATATTGACAATGTACGAAGAAAACAAACCGACATTAATAGGTGAAAATGTCCAAAATAGGGGTACAGCAGTCAACATTGTGTTATAGTCTAAATCACTGTTAAAAATTAAAATCGTCTCGTTTGTCATAAATTCTGGTATTGGGATGACCGCTTATGTCAAATTCGAGGTACAAGTCTCAAAATGAGGCGTGTGATGTATGGTGCAAAGTAAAAGATCTGAGACACTTAATTTTTTTAGCTCACCTGGCACGAAGGGCCAAGTGAGCTTTTCTCATCACCTGGCATCCGTCGTCCGACGTCGTCGTCGTTAACTTTTTACATTTTGAACTTCTAGAGAACCACTGAATGGAATGAAACCAAACATGGCATGAATGTTCCTTATGAGGTGCTGACCAAGTGTTGTTACTTTGTAGCCAATCAATCATCCAAGATGGCTGCCAGCGGGGAACTTAGTTTAACAAAGGACCCTATGTGAAATACATATAAAAGTCTTCTTTTGAAGAACCACTGAATGGAATGAAACCAAACATGGCATGCATGTTCCTCATGAGGTGCTGACCAAGTGTTGTTACTTTGTAGCAAATCCATCAACCAAAATGACTGCCAACGGGGGACTTAGTTTAACAAAGGACCCTATGGGAAATATATACAAATGTCTTCTTCTAGAAAACCGCTTAATGGATTGAAACCAAACATGGTATGAATGTTTCTTTTGAGGTGATGACCAAGTGTTGTTACTTTGTAGCTGATTTGTCATCCAAGATGGCTGCCAGCAGGGGGAGTAAGTTTAACATAGGCCCCTATGGGAAATACATACAAATGTTTTCTTCTAGAGAACCACTGAATAGAATGAAACAAAACATTGCATGAATGTTTCTAATGAGGTGCTGACCAAGTGTTGTTACTTTGTAGCCGAACCATCATCCAAGATGGCCGCCAGCAGGGGAATTAGTTTAACATAAGACCCTATGGGAAATACATACAAATGCTTCTTCTAGAGGAGCACTGAATGAAATGAAACCAAACATGGCATAAATGTTCCTTATGAGGTACTGATGAAGACCTTAATACATATATCTTTATAGTTTGAGGTATACTGTAAACTGCAAAAATATCAAGAAAAGAAGATCTACACATAAGTCCACATGAGCAAAATTGTCAATTGACATCTTGTTGGAATTATTGTCCTTTAAAAGTCATATTCTACAATTTCAATGAATTTATTGGTAATTTCTGTAAACTTTACAAAAGTCTTCTGCTTTTGATTACATAACGAGATCAATATTAAACCAAATTTGGCCTCAATCATTATTAGGGTATCAGTTATGATTGTAATCTATTTTTACATGATTTCCAAAACCAAAGTAGAATCAAGTGATCGACACAGGCTCTTGAGAGCCTCTAGTTTTAAATTCTTATGAAAACTGTAGGAGGTTTTGCATAGAGGAAATTTATCATATATAGATATAGACACTATATATCTCTTGATATGTTGATGAAAACAATGTTCACCATAAGGTATAGAACCACTAATTCGGCACGGACAGAAAAAACATACAAGAAAGTAGAACACATTGTAAACAAAATAGTTCCTAAACATAGTTGTGACTTTGTCAATAAGTAAAATATTTGCGTAATTTTGGTATCAAATGAAAGCTTAAGGACTGGGATCACTGTAGAACCCCTGTTAAAACTTCTCTTGAATAATAAAAAAGTATATGCAATTAATATAGGAGGGCATATTGGGCATATTTGCCTTGTTGTTCAGGCAAGAAGTTCCTGTTTTTGTACTACGTAACCTCCAGGAACCAGTGTGCTCTAATATGCAATTAAATATATGTTGAATTTGTCAGCACAAGTGAGGATAAGGTATAGTTTGCATTGAAATGTCTCTTTTAATTTGAACTTAAGACAAGATAGATATGAATGTTTAAAGTTGCAGACTTAATTTAAACATTAGAAAGCAGAGGGGCTATGAATTAGTGGTGTTATTACTTAAGCAATATAATGGTTTCCAATCCATCATTAGGGTAAAGTTGAACATGTAGGAATTGAAGTCATATTGACCAAAAGTCAGCAAGCCTGTAAATTCACCTATATCAATGATTAGATACTATCACACAAAATATATTCTGTATCATTCAGTTTCTAATAAAACATTCACAAGATTTATTTGAATTGTATGTCCGAATTTTTTTGATAGTGGTATCTATGTTTGATGGTGGCTGAGGGTGAATGGATGGATTGGTGTTAATACCAATGGTTCAAATATAAATGAATCAAGACGAGAACATGTAGATGCGATACAAGTATCAATATGACCCTTATTTGTGCATTTCGTTTCGATGGAGCTAATTTATTTCAGCCTCCTTAGTCATGGTTCATTGACTGACATTTTCTAATAGTTTTGTGTCAAATCTTTTGATTTAGTTTGTTTAACAGGAACCATCTTTGATAAATTATATTTATCATTTGTCTTAAATCTATTTTGTAATTATCATAAATTTATTTTGTAATTATCATAAATTTATTATTAAATTATCATAAATTTATCAAATTATTAAATTTAATAATATTTTGCTATGAAAAATTCATTTACACCAAACAATTGGTCAATTTCATATAGAGCACTGATGTAGCCGTTATCTTTTTCAGGTCCAATAATAATAATAATATATATACATACACATATAAATATACATTTAAATAAAAGAAAAATGTGTCTGAGAACACGAATGTCCCAGAATTGTACGGACGGAAGGACGGACCGACGGAAGGATGGAAAGACGAAGGGACGGAAAGACAGAATGACGGACTGTCAAGGAAAACACTTAATGCCCCCGTCGCCTACGGCAGGGGCATGAAAATACATTCTTTACTTACAATTTGTGATAAGGTCAATTGCTTTTAAACGAAACGTCTCATTTCCGTTAACTAGACGTAGTCCTGCTCAAAACCCCGGTAATAGTCCATTATAGACTTAAATTCATGACCATTTTACGTGCTAAAGAATGTGAGGTATTTATGTTTGGTCTATGGTGGTAGAGATATCAAGCCCAAAAGCACCACCTTAAATGTACCTGCTTAATCATACAATCCGACATACTGCATGCCTTATCCAATAAGTTTAATAGTTTTAGAATAAAATTGCAAATGTTGTGACAACGACCCTGTTGTTTAATTGGTGCGGCAAATAGACAAATTGTTTAGAAGAACCCACTTATGATTAGTTCAAAAACACGTAGAAAAGAATACCATTGTCGTTATTTCAATTTACTGTCATGGAAACAACGGTTTAGTCGTTATAACGGACAAGTTAGGTTCAGCGGATATTGTCCGTGATTAAACTGAAAATTATTTCACTCCTTACAATATAGTAAATATTTTCTTCATTATTTAGACATCATGAAGACCATTTAGTATCCATATTTTCTTTCTTTTGTAGGTTGCCCTTCAAACATAATTTGTATGTTGCCCTTCAAAGATATTATTGACATACATTGATCTATCTTTTAAATAACAAGGTTACATGTTTCGAAACAGAAAATAAAATTCTCAGTTTTAAAAAAATCGTGTTGATGAACAACATGTCATTTTTACACAAATCTATAAAGAAAAACTTAAAAAAATATAATTGGTCATTTCGTTATACATGTATTTCTTTTTATTTTGTTCTTGTATTATTTTGTGGCCCTTGATCTTATTTTTCACTTGAAAACCACCAATATGAGTTATTTATTTGAAAACAGTTTTTTCCTGGCTTTTAATTTATTAATCGTCCTGTACAGAAGGGAACTTTTGGTTGAAAAATAAATATTAAAAACCGCATTGACCACTCTTTTCTTCCTAAGTTTCAAGTTACAAACCATAATTTCTCACTGTTGAATTTGACCCTTTTCTAGTGGTACCTGTCGACTGTACTACATTATTTACTGAATAGATGAATGGTTGATTCTTAATCGGCCAAAATATGTTTTGGGTTGTTCAACGGTGAAATGCAAATCTCTATCTTTAATTCGTTAACCATCAGATTTTGGGATTATCCGAATTATAACGGTATTTTGTTGAATTGGGTTTCATTTTAAAATACCGAGTAATTGTTATCCTTCAATCAAAATGATGGAGTTATGAACATCTATGTAATGCAACTACATTGTATTAATCAATAATTGTAAATGTGCATGCATGCACTTCTCAAATAGCGATACCTTTTTTGCTAAAGGTTTAGTATTTGGAATGAACATTGATAAATTTTTTCTGCTTTGAAATATATTGATGAGCAGCCCTACGACAGTATGGGGTATAAAATTTTCGGGTCTTTTTGTTTAAGTGTAAGTCCGTTCGACCGTCCGTTTGTCCGTCCCTAATCAGGCTATAACATGGGTTTGCGTTAGTTTAAATTTATGGGATAATGAAGTCTATGCAGTCATGTTCACATCAACGCGATAAACTAAGTACACATGTTCATTATGATTCGAACGTTTTAAAAAAATATACGTTAAAAGTAAGGTTTTTACGCAGATTGTGTTATTCGCTGAACACAGAAATGCATTTGAAATATATGATAAATCATGGTTGTTATCCTATGGATATATAACAAACAGAAAGGATTCACGATTTTGTACCTTGGCGAGTTTCCAAAATCGACTAGAAACTTTGTATTGTACTTTTTACGTATGCCTTTGTATTTTCGTTTTGAAGATTTCCCGAAATCTGTGTTTGTTCTATACTTTTCAGAAAATCTTGTTATCATATAATCAGAAACAGCATCTTTGATAACCGATGTCTATTTTAAATAACCGGGTTACTATACTTGAATTAATTATCACGATCAATCTTGAAGCTGTAAATTACTAGCTATATTTTAAAATAACCGGGTTACAATTGAATTATCACAATCAAACCTGAAACTGAAAATAAAAATACATTTTTGAGAAATTGCGTTAATAGAACACTATATATTTTATTACACTGTCAATAAATCATTTAAGTAATTATTACGTTTAGTGAGAACTATATGTACGTTTTTCCATTCTGAGTAGATTGATGAATTTGATTGAAATTTGCATTTATAACTAACAAATAAAACCGCATAGATGGATTCCAATCGTCCTGATGGTGACAAATCGACAAGTAAAAAAGCCCACAAGGTAAATATTATCATGTATGAGTAACTATTCATATTTTTTGCCGTAACTGTTTGTCATTCGTTTTTGTATATTAAGGTATTTCGTATTTCTAATTACTTATTCGGAATATGATACATTCCTCTGAAAATATTGCATAAAAAATCATATACTTATTGAAGACAGCATAATTTGGCTATCCAAACTTGCCTGAGCGTACATGATGAATGTTATTGGAGATTTTGATACAGGTTTTGTTTATAGAGAAAACATAAAAATGTTTCACCTGAACCAAGTACATCTAAACGCAGTAAGCAGGACATTCACAGCGGGAACAAGAAAACAGACAGCAAGATTATTTATAAACGGGAGACAGACGTTCCAGTAGTGCCCAAATCAAAAAGTAAGTGGTACTTTGTGGAAGTATAAACAATATCTTATCTGAAATTCAAGTGAAGTTTCTCTATTGTCGTACACTTGAACATGTGGTTTCCAAATGAATGATTTTGTTTGTTCATCATTGAACGTGAGGTTGGTTGATTGCAAATCTTTGATTCTCTAGGTTAAATTCCTTGACTATTCTAAAGTCTGGGTGAATTAGATGTTGACATATTGTAAACAGTTTGTCTATTGATCAAGACTGTAAATTTACCAGTAGATGTCTTTTTGATTGAACTATTCCAGGTACGGAAGTTTTTATGAAGTTGGAACGTTTTTTAAAATTTATTTGGACTTTGAACAGATGAGAAAAGAATCAAACACTTTTGAAAACTGTAAAATACATCCTCTAGTAGAATATGAAAACAACACGTTATAAATTTTATGCGTCCGAACTTTTTCTGGATTTAGCTTCATCAGGAACGCTCAAAGCCGAATGTTTGAAAGCCAAGAAAGTGTAATAACCTAACAGTTTCAATTGACCCTGACTAGGGCAAGCCTCATCCATTGTGTTTAAAATTGACCAGTCTTTGATTTTTGTCGATGTAAGTTTGTGTCCTTTTCCTAAATGTGACATTTTGACTGAATGTGGGTTCGAATGGCGGGTAATGCATAACTTACAGGAGACTGTACCCCTGTCGACGCACCCGGTCTTCTTCAGTTTCTATTGCAGAAACTTGAATATATGCTTTTGAGATTGCGGTAATATTCACAGCAACAAAAGGTAAACACATTTTAAAAAAGTTTATTTTTGTTGATTATGAAATTATTAATGATATCTTAACTATAATGTTATGCATTCGTTTTTATATAATTTTGAAAAACAAAATGCTTGCTAAATATTCCCTTTCAAACATTTAGAAATTGCATATGTTTTTCGTTATTGTCTGACTTCAATGTTTTTCAAGTAAAATGATTATAACGAATACAGTTCATTCGTCTATTATCTCGTTTGGTTATGATTGTATGATAAAGGATAATATAATTTAAATACCAGTGTCATGTTTAATAGCCGTTTTGTAATTCAATATAATTTTTCATCAAGAAAAGAAAACCAAGACAGACGAAACACCCATCGTTGTGTACTTTGACCTTGAAACAACAGGTTTAGGTGTGTATTTTTTAGAATAAAAAAAGATTTTAAGATGCATTCTGATTAACAATGCAATATGATATTTGCAAAACGGAAATGATAAAAAGATAAAAAAAAGTTGGTAAATACAAATAAAAAATACCAACATCATGAGAATAAAATAAAGAAAAAAGAAGATAGGTCTACAGAATGAACAAACAAAAGATCCAATAAGCTCAAGAATGATAATGATGATGAACGTTCTTGAGGAAGTCTAAACATAAGACAAGTCAATTCAATGGAATTGACACTGAATATATACACCAATAATAACGAAGATGATAAATAGACAGACATAACGATATGAAATTATTAAGCGCACCTTCGAAAACATAGAAAATCTACCAAACGAAATTGTGTATAATCGAGCAAATGAAGTTAATCACATTATATTTTATAATTAAAACAATATACACCACTTCAAAAGGACTACGTCTTGTCCTATCTACTTCACACATTGAAAAATGACACCATTATAAGTTGACATTTTGTTAAAAAAAATATTCATATAAGATGCAAACACGTTAACTTTTTGTGTCTAATTTGGTTAAGTTTATTGTAAAACTCGTATTTCATTGGATTATACCCATATCTCGCATTATCTATACTTACAGTGTAAATTTTTCCAATTGTTGTATTTTCTATTATAGACGTCCAAAAAGAATCGTTGACCCAGATTGCAGCTCAATTCGAAGACCAAACTTTTAGTGTCTATATAAAGCCTAAAGGTCCAATTGGACGTTGGGCTTTGGAAAACACACATCTAAGTTATGACAGTAAATCATTTACCTTATACTATAAAGGTAAAAAGGTTACCAGCAAGGAACCGCAGGACGCATTGGAAGATTTCGTGGACTTTTTGAAGTCGTTCAGCAGACCAATAGTTTTAGCTGCACACTTCTGTCACCAATTTGATGCGCAGATTTTGTACAAGCAGTTAGTTGATCACCAACTATGGGAAGACTTCTCGTCTATTGTAAATGGTTTTGCGGACACTTGTCTGATGTTTCAAAAACTCAAACCATCCCTAAAATATCACAAGCTAGACGCACTCGCTTCAAAATTTTTACCAGCCGAAAGATATTCACTCCACAATGCCGTTGATGATACTAGAATTTTGAAGTCACTTGTAGAAAAACAAGGAAAGGAAAATATGTTGCGGAATGATTTTTTTCAAACGTGTCTTCAAACTAAACAATACTTTCCAAAAGGAAGAGCCATATTAAGGTGCAGGTGATTTTTTTTTACAGTTTATATATTATTCAATACGCATAAGTGTAAATATGATTAAAATAATATTATATATATTATTGAACACAAACCGTCAAACAGATTTTCTTTACTTTATACAATGCATATTTAATTGATAAACATAAGAGATGAAAATGATATGGAATCAATGAGTCAAATGGGTCAAAATATTATTAGTTCGATTCAGAGGAGTGACAACATTCTGCACACGACAGCTCTGGGTTGTATTTGTTAAAGATAAAAATAAACAAAAACACAACGATGGATAAACTTCAGTTTGCTTGTCTAAATCTACAAGTATATTCAATTATGTTTTAAAATAATGTTGTTTTTTTTACAAAAGTGTATTTATACTCATGAATAAAAGCAACACACGACACTGAATCTTTCCTAAATTTGGAATTTGAACAATTTTGTCATTAAAGATACTTTTGTAGAATTTTATGACATTGATGTGCATTGAGAGCGATTAATTTTCACTTTGTCGATTCTGATTTTTCCTAATTAGTCGTTTTCTTTTGTCATATTCACTATTAAAGTATAACCTTTCTTTAGCTTTGTACAAAAACAAAAATAAAAAGAATCCTAAACATATGCATGTAGATTAGATGAGTCTGGTGATGTGTTAATGCTTGTAAATTGGAGAATAAGTAATTTACTGAGAGTAGAGATAATTTATTTGTAACCTTAAAGATAAGATGTCAATAGCCCTTTCCTTGTTCTAGTTACAATAGAATGTCCTAATCATGGACAAAGGGAGTTATAGAGGAATAAAATTAAATAAAATAATATTTTAATTGTCAAGTCATGAAGTATTCTTAGAAATGTAATTTCTGTGACTACAACGTTTTCTAACTTTCATAACTGTCTTATTTAGACGTTGTATATTGTTTTGTCCATAGATAAACTTTTGTCTATAGGGTTTCTGTGTTTCCCTTTTTATGATTTTGTGTTAGGTTATACAATTTATATTTGTAACTGCATTTCTATTCTACAGCCCCTTTTTCATAAAAAAAGAATGAAACTATACAGTATGGAATTAGATGTTCAAACATTACGAACATTGATATACTCTTTTTCACCAACAGTATATTATTAGGCGATTTTTATTTGTGGATTTTGTGCTTTTTGTTTTACACGAAATTTGATTTTCAATTGTTATACACCATTATGTATTCAATAATACCGTTAACAAATGTTTTTCAATTTTAAGAAACCTTCAAAGGCCACTGTGATTCAATCAGTTATCATTTTACAATTGTAAACAACTATTAACGACTCAATATCAATCCAGGAAAAAAAAACAAGAACTAGGGAACTCAGTAATTTAAAGAAGGACCTACACCACCGTTCAACAACATGTTCAAAAGAAAACAAAACCGAAAAGAGAAATAAAATCTACAAAGCATAACATAGAAAAACCAATAATTTAACTATATGAAACCCCCAAAAAGTACAACTCAGATGCTCCAGAATGAAGTCTGCTAGAGGCATCCCTTATTATTCCTAATGAAACCGAAATGCCTAGGGTAATGCGTATAAGTTAAAATGTAATGCAAATGGAGATTAATGGTTAATGAAACTTGTTCGCGTTCATATGTGACACAGGTATTATGAAAGGGACATAACAACCTAAGAGTGTTTTATTTATTTAATTGGAACGAATAACCAATCATCTACAATACAATATTTCATTCTTTTATCCTCTATGATGTGATATAATAAGCTAAGGAGCGATCGATAGCTGTTGACCGATGTTCTAATTTTGCAAATCGTATTTAAATATGCAAACCAAAAGAAAAAAAAACATTAGGGAAAATACCAGCTCACATCAGAGCGAGACTAGAGGGGTTGACAGGATAAGCATCGTTGTTGTAAAAATGTGTATGCCAGTCGGAATCTTAGTGTTAAAAACATATTGCTTACCTATTGGTAGGCGTTTTTGTTGGATACATTGTAAAATAAAATTGCATGTAAGTTCATTGTCATAATTTCAATAAACATCTTAGACTTATTGAGTTTTGAGAGAGGCATAATATTTTTATATCCAGTAATTACTGTGTTTATAATGCCATGTCTATTTCTCATTCTTCTTAAAAGTATTTTATAATTACAACAGTTCTTTTATATTGTATTATTTAGTATTTCTTTTACCTGCGCCGACGTTTCTGACGTATACATATATAAGGTTCAATGTCAAACATTGTCAAACATTGAACCTTATAATCCTTGTATATATACGTGTGGTCTAGCGCGTCGGATACAGTGCAGGCGATTTGGTGTCACGATATCTCAGTAGCATGAGTTCGAATCCCGGCGAGGGAAGAACAAAAAATTTGCGAAAGCAAATTTACAGATCTAACATTGTTGGGCTGATGTTTAGACGAGTTGTATATACAGAAGGTACACAGCCATGTATCACCATCACTGCTGGTGATCCGATGGATAAATCTGTTGTAGAGATGTCACTGGTTCAGACGTACTTATAAATATAATTATTTCTGTGACTGTATCTTGCATTAATTTGTAGGATCCTTTACAATAGATATTTCAGCTGATCTGTAACAATTCAATCTTCATGCCTTATATATCATGTACTGTATTACGACGCTAGATTAAAACTGACGAGGAAAGGTAACACCCGGCCACCGAAAGCTTTATTATGTGAAGCCTAGGTGGTCGTGTGGTCTAGCGCGTCGGATACAGTGCAGTCGATTTGGTGTCACGATATCTCAGTAGCATGAGTTCGAATCCCGGCGAGGGAAGAACAAAAAATTTGCGAAAGCAAATTTACAGATCTAACATTGTTGGGCTGATGTTTAGACGAGTTGTATATACAGAATGTACACAGCCATGTATCACCATCACTGCTGGTGATCCGACGGATAAATCTGTTGTAGAGATGTCACTGGTTCAGACGTACTTATAAATATAATTATTTCTGTGACTGTATCTTGCATTAATTTGTAGGATCCATTTTGTATTGGTATGTCCAGCATATAGGGCAATTAAATTTTTTTTTCTGCCTCGCTATTATTGTTCATGGCCTAATATTTTTAAACTATCTTGTTTGTTGAAAGCTAATTCTAGATCGCTTACAATTAAGCTCTGTAACTATTTAAAGAATGCATGGAAAGCTAGATCTGATATTATTGGTTAGTTATGTTATTATTGTATTGTTCTCTGTTATCAGTCTTTTGTCACATTGTGTATATATTATGTATTGCCATAGCATGTTCTGTATGCTTTTGCAAATAAATAAATATTCAATAGATATTTCAGCTGATCTGTAACAATTCCATCTTCATGCCTTACATATCATGTTCTGTATTACGACGCTAGATTAAAACTGACGAGGAAAGGTAACACCCGGCCACCGAAAGCTTTATTATGTGAAGCCTAGGTGGTCGTGTGGTCTAGCGCGTCAGATACAGTGCAGGCGATTTGGTGTCACGATATCTTATTAGCATGAGTTCGAATCCCGGCGAGGGAAGAACAAAAAATTTGCGAAAGCAAATTTACAGATCTAACATTGTTGGGCTGATGTTAAGACGAGTTATATATATATATATAAACAAGTCTAAATTGAAAACAACGTTCAAACCTATGATTGCGTTTGATAAAAACCGCAATTTTTATACGTGTGCATGCAAAACAAATTTCTTGGTAGTGGGGTCTAAATACAGCACAAACAATATATATCTATATACAAGGATTAGAAATGATAGAATAACTATAAAATTAGTATACGCATTATAAACGTGATCATTGATGACTGTTGAAAAAACATTTCCTGTTAACATCCTTAGGTATTTCATATATTCATCTACATATTCATTCTTTTTTGGTCGAAAGTATTCTGCAAGTGTATACAGATCAGTTATATGGAATTTGACTTTGGCTGATCTGATGTTTTGTTTGTTTGGAATAACATTTGATATAGCTCGTATTTTTAATTATTATACATTTAAAAGACAGTGGATATGTTCCATGTGTGTTAGTCTACTGGTATTGGGTATATTTTATTCATCACATTTGCTAATATTGCTGTCAGTGCATCGCTTTAGACAAGTTTGTATGTCTTTAGAGTCAAAGGTCAATATTCTTTAACTTTACGTTCCGCTATATAGGTGATGTTCTCTCACTAAATAATACAACATTTGGTGACTATGTTGAACGAATCTATCCCATCGAACTAGAGATAAAGGATACTACAGATACAGTTAAGTCTGCCTCATATCTTGACTTACATCTAGAAATTGACAATGAGGGTTGGTTGAAAACAAAACTTTACGACAAGACAAAAGAGATGATTTCAGCTTCCCAATTGTGAACTTTCCATATCTATGTAGCAATATTCCAGCAGCGCCTGCATACGGAGTATATATCTCCCAATTGATACGATATTCCCGGGCTTGTATTTCCTGATTGAGGATTGCTGCTCACAAGGAAGCTATTAAACCAAGAGTTCCAAATGGTGAAGTTGAAATCATCCCTTCGTAAATTTTACGGAAGCCATCACGAGTTGGTTGACCGTTATGGAATAACCGTTTCACAGATGATATCGGATATGTTTCTTATGTCGTAACTACAATACCCTTCCCTTTTCACGAATGTGACCTACCGAATTAAACTATTTACCGGATTTGTAATAACATAAGCAACACGACGAGTGCCACATGTGGAGCAGGATCTGCTTACCCTTCCGGCGCAAATGAGATCACCCCCAGTTTTTGTCGGGGTTCGTGTTGCTTAGTCTTTAGTATTCTATGTTGTGTCATCTGTACTATTGTTTGTCTGTTTGTCTTTTTATTTTTGGCTATGGCGTTGTCAGCTTGTTTTCGATCTGTGAGTTTGACTGTCCCTCTGGTATCTTTCGTCCCTCTTTCACACAATAAACAGTCAAATTCTGGATCATTGGATGCTTCGTGGCTGCAATAATTGTAACATCTCCAAAGCCTGCATTTCAGATCTATGAAGCAGTAAACTTTAGAAAAAATATAACATGACACACGTGTCCGATTTCACCATCAAATCCTTCCACCAATGCCGTCATCTGTAGCTTTTTTTCACTTTTTTGTTTGCATTATACACTGTTATTCTATTCCTTATCTATTTGGCCATTGGCAGAAGAATATGTAAGCAGCTTAAAGATAAACAGAGAAAAAGTGAAAGTGCTATTGAGGAAAAAATTTTCAGTAAAATGACAAATATTTGCGCTGAATTATTTTCCAGTTTTTCTAA